GAGTGTGACTAGCAGATGAAGGCCTTGAGTGTACTGCAGCCTGAGCTGAGAAGCCCTAGAGTTGAGCCAAAGGAGCCTCAAGTCATTCCTGCTGTTGCCTTACCTGAGCTAGCTCATGCCAGATCCTAGCACAAAAGCTAGTTGTGAAGAAGCTTGCTGTTGAACGTTGCCTTATTAAGACTTTTTTTGTCTTTTTGAGACAAGGTCTCCCTGTAGCCCAGCCGACCTGGAACTATGTAGACCAGGCTGGCCTTGAACTCAGAGATCCACCTGCCTCTGCCTCCCAAGTGCTGGGATTAAAGGCGTGCGCCACCACGCCCAGCCCTAAGACTTATTTTTATTTATGTGTATTATGTATGCCATGTGTGTGCTGGTGCCCATGGAGGCCAGAAAAGAGCATGATTTTCTGGAGCTAGAGTTCAGGCCACTGAGCTGAGTGCTGGGAACCAAACTTGTGTCCTCTGAAAGAACAGGAAGCACTCTTAATCCCTGAGCCTTCTCTCCAGTCCCTATTTTATTATTTTACTTTATGACAGTTAAAAGCCCATCTGCCCTCAAACTCACTACACAGCTGAAGATGATCTTCCAGCTACTGATCCTTCTGCCTCCACCTCCTGAGTGCTAGAACTGTAGGTGTGTATGAGCATACCTGTTTATGTTGTACTGGGGATCATATCCAGGGCCTTGTGCATGCTAGGTAAGCACTCTACTGAGCTATATCCCACAATCCCCTGCTTTTTGTTAATTAAACTGAATAAAGGAAATATTCTAACACAAAACATTCTGGTGTGTTTTTTTTACTATTATCTGTGATCTTATTAGACATCATGATGAAAAAGCTGTGCCTTTTCATCATGATGTGTAATGCTCAAGTAGCAGAGTACCTACTGTATCAAATGAAGTGTTGGCAACTTGAAACTTGGCCATGGAGCCACTTGAACATTGGCAATGCAACCACATTATCACTGTACCTGAACCACAGGGTTTTTTTTGTTTTTGTTTTTTTTTCTTTTTGTCTTTTTTGAGACAGGGTCTCCCTGTAGCCCTAGCTGTCCTGGAACTCACTATGTAAACCAGGCTGGCCTTGAACTCACAAAGATCTGCCTGCCTCTGCCTCCCAAGTGCTGGGATTAAAGGCGTGTGCCACCACGCCTGGCCCCTTCCACAGGGTTCTTAATGGCTAATATCTAGACAAATACAAAAAAAAACAGAACAGTGGCTTCTGGACCCTATGCTGTGTGCATCCACTTAGGGTGAGGGAGCTGTTGACCACACCACCCTAAGGCAGGGCCACCAGGATGAACCTTCCTCTCTGGTCCACATATGCCTTGCTGACTATAAGATGGACTGTTATATTGGTCTCATCACTAGTCATCGAGCTTGCAGCAGGATTTGTGGCCCAGTATTGCTGCTTGGGCCACTTGGAACCCCTGGTGAGGGATGTATCTTATGTTCCAGCTACTTAGGTTGGGGTGGGACAAGGGGGAACAGAAGCTTGGAACTGCCTCTAACAGGGCCACATCTGTCTATAGGTGCTAATCTGTTGTTAGGTGACCCCTGGCAGAAAAGCCAGTATCAGATAAATGACAGGCAACATCCACCCAAAGAACAGAACTTTTCATCTTGCCTGTCCCACCACACACAGGAGGTCAGGTCCCAGCTCTGAGGGGGGACCCTCTAGGAGCCTTGTTCTTGGCTGTCCCTTTCCCTAAACACATACTAGAGGTTATAAAACCATGACCCTTAGGCTCAGCTGTACTTTCAGCTGTACTTTGATTGCACATCTTCCCTTCTACAGCCCCCAAGAATCAGGCTTTCATCTCCAAGGACAGATGATTTCAGGCAAGCACAGAGCTCAGTACAAAATTCAATACTTTAATGACAATAGGGAACAGGGACTGCAGCTCAGACTAACCCCTAGAACAGCTAGGCTGTCTCTGCACAGCTATACACAAACATCCACACGAGGCCCAGGCCCCACAGCTATGCCCCAGGCATTCACACAAGAAAACAAAACAAGCAGAATGACAGCCCAGTTTTTTACATCCCAAATGTCCTGAGAATTTGTTTATTCAACCACATAAAATTTCTCTAGGAGCTGGTGGCCTGCACTCAGCATTGCACAGATAAAAATATATGACTTTCAACACAGACCTAAATACCTTCACATTTTAAAAATCAGAATTCTCTATACAAGTGTTAAGCTGATGAATTCAAGTTCTGAGTTTTCATATATAGCTTTCACTTGTATTAAACACATGTTTATTTATAACGTGGATCGAGAATAAGGGGCTATTAAGGCCATTTTCTCATCGTGAAACACTGCAAAATATGTACAGAAGTACAACCTAATATAGGCAAAGATTCTAAAAATCATCCTTCTTGGCTTGACGTAATTGAGTATTAGTTTGGGAATGAAGAGACAGCTTGTCGATAGCACCAAGCCACACCAATGGGGATGTGTGCCTTTGCTGTTCCATCCAGCTATCTGCAGGTCTGCAGTTGAGGTACACCTTCAACTGGTACAGATGTGCAGCACTCCCCAGGCCAGCCTGAAGGGCACTTTGCTCACAGTCCCCTCAGTTCCATTTTCAAATTCACCTCAAGGTCCGGTCAAAACACATTTCCAAATAGAATCGTGCTACAGGGCCATTCAAACCAGCTTGACAGGGAAGGTCCAAGGGAAGCCTCCAGGGAACCCATCTCACCTCCGATGCCTGCTGTGTCCAGGGTGGTCCCGCTCATAGCGATGGCCTGTGCGCTCATATGACCTTGAGCGCTCCCGTCGCTGATCTCTATAATAATGACTTTTCTTCTTGTATTTTCCAGAATTATCTGTCCGTTCTCGTGACCGGCTTCGAGAACGAGAGGAGCTCCGACTACGAGACTTGTGTGGCTTCTGAGTGAGGTATTTGCAGTCCTTAGATTTCCGGGAACCCCTCACCTCTGAGCCTTTGTAGGGAGCACCTCGGTGTACCTGCCTTGGAGGAGAGTCACTGCGGCTCCGAGAACGACTCTGTGACTTGGACCCACCCGAGGTAGAGCCACTGTCGCTTTTTCTGTGGGGAGGACAAGACAGCTGTGACCACACAAGTGTCCCAGGCTAGGCCCTAACAAACCAGAGGGGCTGGCAAAGGGACTTACAAACTCAGAGAAAGAAGCCACATCTGATCAAGAGCCACTGTCCCAAGGGGCAGCTATGTCTCCTCCTGTTACCCTGGGAAAATACCTACTCCCACTAGGTCTGCATCGCCTGACACGTACCTTCTCTTAGGAGAAGCAGACCGTGATGGGGACCTTGAGTAGCTCTGTTCACGGCTCCTGCTTTGGCTTCGACTCTCATGCCCTTTCGGCAAGCTGCAAACAGGAGCACAGCAGTTACAGATCTAGAACATCTCCAGTCACTGGGTGGCTATCTTGGCAGCACTGAGCATCTTACCCATTCACAGGGCTGTCGGCCTTGGCTTTCTTTTGGCCCTCCATTTTCCTCTTGGCATTCTTCACAGAGAGTGGGGAAGACTTGCTTCCTTTACCTTCTTTGGGGGATTCTACTGAAACAAAGAAGAAATTAAAAACCAACAATCACAAAACTTCTCCAAAAGAAATAAGAAAATACACACGAGACACAGGCCTTTTGTCCACATCTTTTTTCCTCAGGGTCAGGGCATTAATATCAAAGGACCTAGATTAAAAAATTTCATCAAATGACAAGTCAACTGGGTAAGTAGGGTAAACAGCAGCATTTCAGAAAGCCTATCTATATTCCTTTTTAATAAAAAGACAAATCCTTTAGGGGCCCTGCCTCATTTTAAGAGCAACTGACAGGTTGCTAGGGATTCTAGTACCAGCATGCAGCCAACATAAGCTGCAGGCTTAATTCCAAGAGCTCTGGGAGACAGAAGCACATACCGCAAAACCAAGAGGCAGAAGAAGATCACAACCTCCACTCTCAGGGGTAATAAATTCTGGACACTCACCCAACTTGGGAGCAGGTGAGAACCCTGCAGTACTGTCCACAACTGGAGCACCTCCTGGCAGCAGGCCCCTAGCTCGGGCCTTGGCCTCTTCGATGGCATGCTTTCTCTTTTCTACCTCACTTTCTAGGTGCGTCAAATCAACCTGAAAAGATAGAATCATTCATTCAGAACAGCTGTTTCTGCCAAATACCAACACATGTATCACAGAAAAACACACAGAGCAACCTTTTTCCGTGTATAAAGCTGCAGTATTTTTAAGCAAATTTCTTGAATTTCTTCTTCAGTTGCTCCAAACAAAAGAAACCAATGTGGCCGATTAGGTAAAGGGATCTGTGAACACAAATATTATCTTGTCACTTTCCCTAAGAATTCCAAAACTAACAAGCTTCTTAGGACAACACCTGAAAATGGCTTGCTAGTTACCAAGAAGATAATTCTGGTACAAACAAAACTCATTTGATAAATACACTAACATTTATTGGAGGCTGGAGAAAGGGCCAAACTAGACCCCAGGGAGCAGCACACTAACCTCCAGTGTCCGTGCAGCGAGGTAGATGCAGGCACAAGCAATGCTCTCAGGCTGGAACCTCACGAAAACATCTGTGCGAAGGCTGTCATTCATGTAGTTCCTGAAAATAAGACCAGAAAGACTGTAATGCTGTGGGCAATCCTGGCACTATCTGTCACCAAAGGATGCTATTCCTAAGGGGTCTACACTATGACTGCGCTGAGCACCCTGGGAATCCCCAGAGATAATAGAGGGACACTGAATACATGACAGAAAGAAATCACTGGGGGAAAAAAGCTGGCTGAATGTCAGACAATTTGTGTTGCTATGAACGAGAACCGACTTTAACTTTACTTTTCCCTCTAGATTTGGCCTGCTATCATGCAAAGCACAATGCCTCAGAAAGAAAATGCTACTTAGTAGTTAAAATGTAGTTGATTAAAGAAATCTAAATGCTCAAAATCCATAGTGCAGAGAAACATGCAAACTCAAATGAGCCGCGGAGCATGAAGCCTTGCAACTGGGAGATAAGCTGTTCTCCTGTGTTCCTTTTCTTCAGACAGCATTTGTGGCCTGGTCCTTCTCCAGACGACTGAGCTGCAACTCCAGTGACAGAGTCCACTTGGAAAAGGAAAGGCCCTTGGGTGCAGTTTGGGTGCATAGCATAGACACATCATGCAGAGGAGATCAACACCCAAGGTAATCCTCTTCTGGGCTTATCAAAGAACGTTTCCAAACTGTCCCATTTCAACAAGGAGTCTTAAAATGAACATTCATAAAAATCAGACAGAAGCAATAAAACACTAAAAGGGTCATCAAAATAAGTACAATTTAAAACATTATCATACTTTAGAAAATGTTAAGTACAAAACTGCATTTTTAAAAAGTTAAAAATCTTTAAAATTGGCTACATATTTAACATTTCCTTTACATATACTTCTCTAAGATATATAGACTAAAATCAAAGTCATACTAGCTTTATCAATACTGCAAAAACAATTCCGTGAGAAAAAACCTGAAGATGTTTTATATATATACACTGCCCAATATACCCCAATAATAAATAGTACAACACATCCTAAAGTTAGGCTGTACCACAGATGGGGGATTTGACAGATGCTGCCCCCACCCAGTATCTTTGCCCTAAATAACTGAGAGAAAGTAACATTCAAACCCACTCTAAAATTCTAAACAATGCCTAAACAACAGATGCCTAAAAGAGGCAACTGGCCCTGAAAGCTCTAGGCATCAGAAGGGAAGCCAGTATATTACCCATGTCCCAGGAGCCATTCTGTGGTTGAACAGCTCAAACATTAACAGAGAACATCAGTAACTTACTGCTAATAACATTTTAGTGTTCAAATATTGATATTGATCCATTAATTTTAAATTCTAAAAATAAGTGAAATCCTCAAATCATGTATTTAAACTTAGTTCTACATTTGAAATAAGTTACAGTAGTTTAAAAACATGTCCAAGGAATAATTTAAAGATGCACACCTTTGTTGGAATGAGACCCACTTAAAGCTGCTGAAAAAAGCAACTTTAGGAAAAATAATGACATAATCACATAACAGCCTGAATCTCCATCAGCCAATTAACCACTTCAGTTCTTATAGCTATCAATACAATTTTTTAAAAGAAAGGTATTGCATCTTTATTGTACAGGTACAGCAGTTTTAAAAGAACAAAATTCAAGTTATCAACTCTAATTGATACAATTACCAAGCACAACAGGATTAACAAGAAGCACAATCGTCAGAGAACCACAAACAGCAGTCGGCCATGACTATACTATCGTACGCATACCACCAGTCTAGAGCCAGCCTTCGGTGGAGAGCCTGCACTGGATTGGCTGAAGACGGCCGCTGTCCCTGCACCAAAGCGCTTGGACAGCAGAGGAGAAGTCTTAGTCACTTACCCTCAGAGGCTACCCTTTGATTGAAAGAGTACAGAAAAGAAAAGTCAAAACAGGTTCTCTATAAAGCATGTCATAGCACCAGACAATTCAGTCAGCAATATGACCCCTACAGACTTAATTCTGTGGGGAAAAATATATCCCAACACCAAATTTTCACTTCAGGCTACATTTCAGCATATGCCTATTAATACCAACCCAGAACTGCAGCAAATGCCATCCCTACTTCCCCACAGGATGTAACTCCCCGGAAACCAGACCATTGAGTTTATATTTAGGACTATCACTTCCAATATCCCTGTGCCTAGCTGACAGCCCCCAGGGGAAAGCCCACTAACTACTTTCCTGGAGTGGGAAACAAGGGAAATCCAGGGGTGGGTGGGCCACCTACCGTTAAGCCAGTGACTGTCACTTTGGGGAGGCTGCTAGGTATTTACAGGGCAGATCACTGGGCACTGGGATAACTCCAGCCCACAACCAAGTCATGGGACCGACTACCCACTGCCCAGGTGCCTCAAGTAATACATTCCTGCACTGCCCTTGCTGGTCTCATGAAATAAGGAAAATCAACTCACCATGCAGTCTGGACCAGGTGTTGATTACGCTCACACTCTAACACCTGAAGGTACATAACGATTATCTGGAAGATATGGGTCAGGCAGTTATTACCAAGAACCTCGAGAGCAGAGAACTCAGATCTTGTTGGTGTCCATGCAGCATAAGAACCTCAAACTATACCCCAGGGGCGGCTCCTGGTCACGTCCGGCAGACTGCTCAGCTGGAGGGGTAGTTTTTGTGTTATGTGGGGCTACCTGCTTTTATAGATGGGCAGAGTGCACACATCTGAGGACCAAGCTGCACCCTGTGGCACTGAAGGCCTTGTTTCCCATGTGGCTCATTTTCATTCTCGTTGACAACACCTTTGTTCACCAGAGATCAGCCTGCCCTAAGCATCCCTGTACCCCGGTAGCCAACTTGCACAAAACATGAAAATACATTAAACAAATTTAGAAAAGCACATAAATATTTAGTGGATAATTTACTAAGTTCTTAATGCCAGAAACTCAAATAATCAAGAGAAGAGGGCAAGACCACAGATGTAAACACGAACTTTAAATAAGTCTTTGGTTTACCTACATTATGTTAAGACACCCATGAAACTCCAAGTAAACCTGCAGTACAACAGTCCTACTCCTAATCAGCACACGCTATATGACTATTTTGGTTTATTTTGAAATAAAGGACTCAGAATTTTTCCTGTTCTTCCATAGGAAATATTGAAGCTATTACTAAAATAATGTTTAAAAAAAGTTAGTTCTTAAGGGCTGGGGAGATAGCTATCATTAAAATGCTTGCCCCACAAGCATTAGGACCTGCTAGGACCTGCATTCACTCCCCAGAGCCCATATAAAAGTACTGGGTATGGCCGGGCGTGGTGGCACACGCCTTTAATCCCAGCACTTGGGAGGCAGAAGCAGGTGGATCTCTGTGAGTTCAAGGCCAACCTGGTCTACATAGTCAGGAACAGCTGGGGCTACAGGGAGAACCTGTCTCAAAAAGACCAAAAAAAAAAAAAAACTTGTAATCCCAGCACTGGAGAAGCAGCGACAGAAGGATCCTTGGGGTTTACTGGCCAGCTGGCCTAACCTAATTGATGCACTCCAGGATAATGAGAGAGCTTATCTCAAAGGAGATAAACAATGTTCCTATGGATGACATCCAAGGTTGTCCTCTGGGCTCCAAATGTGCCCACATACATGCATTCAGGAGGCAGAGGCAGATGGCCAGTCTGATCTACATAGTGAGTTCCTGGCCAGTCTAGTGAAACCCTCTCTCCAAAAATAAAAATAAAATAAAACTGCCATTAGTATTAATGCATTTAAAAAAATTTATTATTATTGTGCATACATCATGTGTGGTCAGATGTGCCATGGTGCACACATACAGGTCAAAAGGACAACTTCGTGAAGCTGCTTCTCTCTTCCCAAATTTATGAGTTCCAGAAATCAAACTCAGGTTGCTATGCTTCTGTAGCAAGCACCTTTAGCAACTCAGACATCTTGCTGTCCCTGTTTACTAAGATAGGGTTTCTCATATAGGACAGGCTGGCCTGGAGCTCAAAATGTAGCTAAAGGAGACCTTGAACTCCTGACTCTTGATTCTACACCAAGCAGGAAAAATGGATGTTAGTAGATTCAACCTCTAACTAATTCACTGCTTTTAAAAGCCTACATTTAAAAGATGCCATTTCCTTGGGGCTGGAGAGATGGCTCAGCGGTCAAGAGCACCTACTGCACTTGCAGAGGACCCAGGTTCAATTCCTAACACCCACATGGTGGCTACGAACAGTCCTTAACTCCAGTTCCAGGGGAATCCGAAACCCTCTTCTGACTTCACATACATGCAGGCAACATACTTATACACATAAAATTAAAAAAAAAAAAGGATGCCATTTCCAAATTTCTATGTATATTATTAGAAGTATCAGACAATACAAGAAGGCTAATAAAGAATTAACTTAAAATGTTAGGCATTAGCAAAACCAAGTAAGGGACACATTCAGTCTTCTTTGAGGCCTTCCTTCACACAGTAGAAGCTATGGCTGGAGTACAGCCTGGGTGGCTACAGGTGCCAAGCCAAACCCACCTTGTGAGGATGCTTCACATGGACACAGAAGCCCAGTTCCTTGAGAACCCGTCTCTCTGCCTTTATGATCTGGTTCTTTAAGTTAACATACTCTTGATCCAGTACTAGAGGCACAGGTTTCCTGCAATGACAAAGCATGTGCTCTGTATCAGGATCAATAAGGTCTTTCAGATTCCACAACTACTTCTGAGTGATGAAAACTAAATATAAATAAATACCATGGTAACAGAGCTACAAGGTTCACTTCCTTTAACAAAATTATAGATGAGCCTCAAACCTCAATCCTAACCTACTTAAATACTTTCTTACTAACCTGCCCCTTGTCTTTAAACATAAGAGCATTCTAACATGTCAACAAACACCTTAAACATAAGAGCATTCTAACACGTCAACAAACACTGCCTGAGTATGGTGGAAGGTGTCAGGATCTCATCGCACAAGTGCTACATACACTGTTAGACAAGCAAGACAAAAAGATCAACTTTTTTGACTGAATGGAAAACAAAAGAACCAATGAGAGTACCATACAACCATCCTCAGTACCTATCAGAGCTGGTTCCATGACATCCCCCTGCAAATACTGATACCCATGGCTGCTCAAGTTCCTTCTACAAAATGGTACAGCATTCTCACAGCATTTACACACAGCCTCCCAAATACTTAAAATTATCTTTAAATGAGTTATAAAACCTAATACACAAAGAGCCATGGTACTGTGTTGTCTAGGGAATAGTAAAAAGAAAAAAAGAAATCTATACATGTTCAGCCAGTGCTCCCTGGAGCATTTTCAATCTGAGGTTGGATGAACTCTTGAATGGTAAAACTGCTGATATGTACTACTGAAAGAAAGACCAGGCTGTGTTAAAGGGCTTCTGTAAACAAGAGCAGAAAGTCTGGTCTAAGTTCTAAAGGTACAGGTCCATGAACAGGGACATTTGTTTTTTGTGTGTATGTGTGTACATGTTTATAACACAGAGACGAGAGGACAACTTGTGGGAGTCGTTTCTCTCCTTACACCACCTTGATGCCAGGGACTGAATTCTGGTTGTCAGGTTTGGTGGCAAACACCTTTACCTACTTGCTGAGCCACCTAATTGGCCCTTTTGCATTTTATTTATTTTTGAAATAAGATTTTCCTTTGTTTTATGGGGTTTTCATTTTTTAATTTATTTTTAATTTTATGTGTATTGAGCATTTAGCCTGAATGTATGAAGTGCACCATGTTTGTGTGCAGTACTCAGAGGGCAGAAGACAGTGCAGGATCCCCTAGAATTATGAAGACTGAGCCACTATGTGGGTACTGGGAACAAAACCCGAGTCCTTTTCAAGAATAGCAAGTACCCTTAACCTTTGAGCAATCTGTTCAGCCTGTTTTGTGCCTCTTTAAGGCAGGGTCTCATATATTCCAGACTTGCTTTGAATGTGCTATGTAGCTGAGGATAGATGACCGTGAATTCCTAATCCTCCGTCTACCTCCACCTCCCAAGCACCAAAATTATAAGCCCACATCTCCATTCTGGGGTCCATGAATGTTTTTCATTTTATTTTGAGACAGGGTTTCACTATGTATCCCTAGCTGGCCTGGAACTCAAAAGAGATCTATCTGCCTGCGTCTGACTCCCAAGTGCTGGGACTAAAGAAGTGCGTGCACCATCACACCCAACACCATGGTGTTTTTTTTTTTTTTCCTGTTGTTGTTTTGAGACAGGATCTCACTATATAGTCTTGGCTGGCCTGGAACTATGTTAACCATGCTAGCCTCAAACTCAGAGATCTGTGTGCCTCTGTCTCCAGAGTGCTGAAATTAAAGACAAGCACCACCATGCCTGGCTTCCAAGAGTACTTTTAAGAGCAATGACTTTTTTTTTTTGGTCTTTTTGAGACAGGGTCTCTCTGTAGCCCCAGCTGTCCTGGAACTCACTATGTAGACCAGGCTGGCCTTGAACTCACAGAGATCCACCTGTCTCTGCCTCCCAAGTGCTGGGATCAAAAGCATGCACCACCACGCCCAACCTGAGAACAATGACTTTTAAGAGCAGTGTTTGGAGCCAAAGGAGTGGTGGCTCACACTTGTAATCTCAATATTCAGGAGATTGGGACAGCAAGACTGCAAAGAAGTTGAGACCAGCCTGGCTACATTTGGAATTTCAGGTCAATCAGGACTAAACAGCAAGACCCCATCATATAAAAAAAAAGTAGTATCTAGGGACATTTGGGACATTTCTGACTGTTATAACTGAGGAAGAATGCAACTGGCCTCTGGCTGGTCAACAGAGTACAATGCACAGGACAATTTCCTTACCAAAAAAATCACCAGCTCAGATATTGATAGTGCTAAGGTTAAGAAACCCTGCTCTAGAGCAACTAGTTCTGAGTAGAACCATGCAGCTAACAGGATCCTGATGTGGGCAAAGAGAACTGTTCAAGCAGGGCTAGGACATCTGGATTTCCTGCTTACTGCACCCCCAAGGCAGCACCTGGGGCCCGTTGAGCACATGTGAACACACTAGCTTATATAAATCCACAGGTTGGTATAACAAAGACAGACTTGACAGCTCTGGAAAAGACTCACTTTTTCTCTCTCAGATGTCGAAGGCGATGGAACACATTGATAACATCCCGGATTCGTCTTGGTGCCTCTTCTATTTTGGAGGCCAGGTGAACACACGCCATGGACACATGCTGAAATGTACAATGCGACACAGATGTTTGTCTCCAGTGTGAGGGCCTCACAAGGCAAAAGGGCTATTAGGGGCAAAGGGGAGGTGTGCAGAGGGAAAGACCTCCAGAGAGAGCTGTGCTGAACCCCAAGACAGAATTCAGTTGAGAGCTCTATATAATAGGCAGAATAAGCCAGCTGTCCTCCCAACTCACTTCCCTGAGAAAACAAAGAAGCTTACCTCCATGGAATGTTTCACGAAGGACTTGGTGTAAAAGAACCGCTGGAACAACACCTGCCCAGTAGCCATGGCCACCTAGAGACGGGGAAGCTTCCATCACTTTTGAAAGTAGACTCAAGAACTTTCCCAGCTGAAATGTCACCGGGTGACATGGGGCTCCCCCAGGGCAAACACCCACGAGTTTCCACGTCCCCAAAGGGTTTCCGCGTTTCGCGAGGCTGCCCGCTCCCGAGTGCGGTGGGGGAGGGGAAGTGGGCCCAGCTCCAGGTGGGCCAGGGGTCAGGTTTGGGGCGTGGGCTCGGCTCCAGGTAGGGTATGATCAGGTCAGCGGCGCGGGCCCGGCTCCGACCCGGGTCAAGCTAGGTCCGGTTTGGGGCGCGAGTCTGGCCGCCAACAAAGGCCCTGCATTCCGGGCAGGCGGACAGACGTTGTCTCCCCGGCTCGCGGCCGCGCCTTACCTGTGGCAAGCGGAGCAGGATGCCGGCCGCCTGGATGAGCTCGCAGCCCACCACGCGGAGGCCGGTCTCCGTGTCGGTGTCGAGACCGCTCGACATGGACGGCGTGAAGCGGAGCTTGTCGTCGGGCAGCAGGCAGTTCTCCAAGGTGATGAGCACGCCTGAGTATAGCCTGTCTCCGATCAGCACCCCCTGCGACCCCGGCGCGGCTCCCCCCGAGCCCGAAGCTCCGGCCGCTGCCGTAGGGGCCGTCAACCCCGAAGTCCCGGCCGCCGCCGCCGCCATTTTGTGCCGCCGATTCTTTTCGGGCCCTTCCCGGCAGGGCGGCTCCTCGTGATGCTCTCGGCCGCCGCTGCCCCGCCCGACCCACTGCCCATTGGCTGCACGTCGCCGCTGGCTCAACGCCGTTGGCCGTAGGACGTGCCCCTCACTATTGCGTCAGGCGCTGACGCCGGAAGCGACCACGGGTGGGGCGGCTAGTTACCCACAGGCCCTCCGCGGTCTGACCGCAGTTGGAAGCGCGGCTGCTGGGAGCTGTAGGAGCTTGGAGGGCTTGCGGCTCGGAACCTGCTGCTCAGGAAAGGCCTGTTTCCATCGGGGCCCGGCCGACTCGACTCCTTCCCGAAAGTCCCACGCTCTTTGCACTAAGCTGTACTGGGTTGTTAGTTCTCCGCCCCTTCCTGCTGTCTGTGGCTCTGCTTCAGTTGGGCGGCGGATCCCACCAGCAAAACTACCTGAGGGAAAGAGGGCAGGTGACGTGGAGGCCGGACTAGATGACTCTGCCTGTTGCCTCTGCCTACACCAGCCGAAGGATGCTCTGGCCTCGGAGTTTGGAAGAGGCTTGAAGTTGACCTTACAGTGTGTGAACATCCTTCCTGGCCGCCTCTGTCACCAGGAACAGTGCTGCAAAGCATCCGATGCATTAACTGCCGTTGCCCAGGTAGCTCAAGCTTTCACCAGGACTTCGACATATTCCGTGGGAAGGAGAGTCGCGAGACGCTGGGGAGGATGTAACTGGGTGGGACAGATTCAGATACTTTGAGCTGCAGACGAGGCTGCCAGTGGCTATCATCCCATAGTCCAGCTGTACGGGTTTGACTTGTGGCCAAACCTGATTCCACTGCTCAAATAGAGCCAACAAAGACCTCATCTGCTGTCCTCCCACCTGTGGAGGCCACATTGTTGCAGTCCATTCCCTAAAGGGTTGGTGTCTCTTATGGGCTACAGTTGTACTGGGCCTTCCTTGGGCTATCTGTCCATTCCCTAAACTGACACTTGCCAAAGGATTGGGAAAGTGGTGCCACTAGCCAGTCAAGCCAAACCCTGGCACTGGAGATAACACCCAAGCCCGTACCAGCAAGGGAAACCTAGTCTGGAGTAGGGCTTCTAGGTACAACCCACAATGGTTTGCCACATCATCTTTATTGAGTAAAGTATAGAAAAGCTCAGCCAAGGGTCCAAGAGTGTATCTTCACCTTGTCTTTTCAGTGGCCACTGGCTAGTAAATGATATGTATTGAACACTCAGGCAGAAAAGACAAAGGCTCCAAATGCTTATGGTGCAGTGACCTTGAGTCTGATGACAATAACCAGAAAAGGTCTTACAGGATTCTGCAGTAACGGAAGCCAAAAATAAGCTGGCCTATAGTGAGGATGGAGAAGACATCCAAGAGACTGAGAGTGTAGCTCAATTGGTAGACAGATTGCCCATCATAGTTGAAGCCCTCAGTTCAATCCCCTGCACCCAAGAAACTAGGCATGATGCATGCCTGTTTATCCTGGCACTTAGAAGGTAGGGGCAGGAGGATCAGGAATTCAGAGTCATCCTTGGGCTACATGAGCCTCTTGTCTCCAAAGAAGAAAAGTAAGGGCTGGAGAGATGGCTCAGCAGTTATGAGCACTTTCTGTTCTTGCAGAGGATCCAAGTTTGAATCCCAGCACCCACGTGGCAGCTAACAACCATCTTAGAACCAGGGATCCAATGCCCTCTTACCTCAGCGGGTATTGCATGACAGGGATGCACTTGCATACATGAGGCAACACACTCATCATTTTTTTTTTTTTTTTTTTTTGGTCTTTTTGAGACAGAGTCTCCTGTAGCCCCAGCTAGCCTGGAACTATGTAAACCACGCTGGCCTTGAACTCAAGAGATCCACCTGCTTCTGCCTCCCGACTGCTGGGATTAAAGGCACATGCCACCACACCTGGCAATAAAGTATATTTTTAAAAAGTCTTGGGCTGGAGAGATGGCTCAGTGTTTAAGAACACTGACTATTCTTGCAGAAGACCCGGGTTTGAATGGCAACTAACAGCTGTTTTGTAACTCCAGTTCCAGGGGATCCGACAGCCTCTTCTGTCCTCTGTGGGTATTGCTCAACAAGGATGCACTTACCTACATGCAGGCAATATAAGCACATACATTAAAAAAAGTCTTCAGGTAACAGACAGATGGCCAGGACTGGTTCTGTATAGAACTGGAGGTTGTTGAGTCCAAGTACAGCAACTGGTGGTGTAATATGAGGGTTGGTAATGTGGTTCAAACTGGAGGGGCAGACTGGCAGTGTGAGTGCTGCAGCAGGTCTCCCTTTAGGGTTAGTAGGTAAAGCAGACTTGGATTACATAAATGTGGGTATCTGTTTTGTAGCAGATTTCTCTGAGATAAAACACTTTGCCCTGCAGGGAAGCTCATTAAGAGGCAGGAAATAATTCAGCAGCTTCAGAAGTCCCTGAAACTGACCAGATTCCTTAAGTTCCTCCCTCCCCTAAGCATACATAAGGAGCAAGGTCTGCTGAGACTCTCAGACAAGCTAAGTTGCCTAGCAGAGGCTCAGATCAGCAGAGCTTCCTGAAATAACTCCAACCTGTTGAGCTGCCTCCAAGTTGTGCAGTGTACTACTGGTTTCCAACAAGCCATCATCCATGCTAGAGTGAGCTTCTGATGATGCAGCCATCTTTGAGTCATTTCTACTCCTGTAAGAATCCCCTCACCCATACTCCCATAAATATCCTTGATGGATAAATGGTTCACCAGTTGGACTTTGGTGGTGTCCCTTACTTTGGTCTGTCATCAGTTCCCTATCTGAAGTAAGTAGACATTTGTTTGTGTCTCCCCAGGAATGGTATCACACAATACTATCACTGACAAGCAGGCTAGAAAATGGCCTGACATGTTTCCTATAACAGAAAGTGGAGTAAGAAAGGAAAGGGAGGGCTGGAGAGATGGCTCAGCGGTTAATAGCACTGACTACTCTTGTGGCGGACCCCAGTTCGATTCTCAGCACCCACATGTTGAGACCCCTCCTTAACACCAGTTCTGGGGAATCCAAAACGCTCTTCTGACCTCCACAGCCTTGCACGACACAGGTGCACTCATACATGCAGGCAATACACCCATACACGTAAAATAAATATAATAAAGGAAAGGGATGAAATCCTTAGGGTCATGGTCAGGATCTGCTGAGCTTTGGTTCCAGGGAATGATTTTGACAGAGCTCTTGGTGGGGGAAGTCAAATGCAAACCCAATTATGGGCAGCAAACAGCAGAGACCAGAGTGGAGGGAGAGAAGGGTAGACTGTGTAGCTTGAAAGGGGCATGAAGATGAGGTGCTTGAGATGGCAGTCTTTTGAGTGAACCAGGACCCCAAGAAGACAGCAGTAGGCCTGACCTCAATACATTACCCACTGTAGGAAAAAGTGGATGGGTCTACATGATACAAGAATGGCAGAACTGCTGAGGTTGCTGCTGCTGAGTTTATCAGGAACATATAACTGAACCTTACAGAGCAGTGTTCCAAGTTTGGGACCCCCACCCCCACCCCTCAAACACACACACACCATTTGAGGCTACCTTGGCCTTTCAGGCTAAAGCCAGGACATCATATGCCTGATATGGGGATATCTCCATGAACCCTACCAGGCTGGGAGTATAGGAGACAGCAGGGAAAACAGGCTGGTTGGAGTGGCTTGAAGTGCTGAGCTACTAGGCCATGCCAAATACAAGGAAGAGACCAAGGAGGGGGAAGGGTAACGTTACCCCTGAGTATAATAAACGTACAGACTGAGGATATTAGAGTGATTCAGGAAACACAGAGTTTAGAGGCCTGATACCGACCTCAACTTTACAGAGAGAAGCAGCATGCAAAACTGAATCCTACCATTCCCACTCGGCAGCCTCTCTCACAGCAGGCAGCCAATGAGGACAAACAGGCACAGGGGCACTTCAGAGGCAGATCACACCCCAAGGTGTGTTTGCCTGATGCCAGAAAACTACAAATTGAACACTAAAAAGGCTTTATTTGTACAATACCCATAAAGGACATATCTTGGGCTGTGCTACTGAGAAAAGACCTAATTCTCTCAGGCTTATTGTTGAAATGTAAATAAATACAAACCAGGCTTACTGGTGACTAGACAATCCTTTTGCTCCTATCTTATTTATGATAATTGCTTCCAAAGCACTGAAGCCCTCAGTGGTACTGCACCACTCTGGAAAAGATTCCTTTGGGCTCCTTTCCATCTCCCAAGGCTGCAGCAAATCCTTCTTGCTGCCTCCTCTTGGCCAGAGCAGCCAAAGATTTAAAAGTCTTTGGTTCATAGATAGCCAGGTCTGCGAGAACTTTCCTGTTGAGCTCCACCTGGCACTGGGAAGAAAAAGAACCACAGACTATAGTTAGTATCAGAAACCATGTCAATAAAAACAAAAGAGACCCCATGTTAGGTCAGGCAGGAGAAAGCAGCTCACAGACCCTCCACGGGCTAGCACCACTCTGCTGGTGTGGAACACTGGGAACTGATGGAGAGCATAGCAGGATAAATATGGGTAGGAACAAGGAAGGGCACCTGTTGAGTCTATAACATGGAAGAGGCAGCTTGGGCACAGGACCCATAGAACAGTGACCTTGATTAGGGTCAGTGGTCATCTGGGAACTAGGACATCTAGCCTGGGCTAACCCTATACTATAGTTTGGAGGCTTGTGTAATCTCACTAAACTGAAGTTCCTGTCAAGTAGATTACAGGGCTAGGAGTAGAGCTGAGTAGTAAACTGCTTATGCACAGAGCTCTGGATTCCATCCCAGCAAAGACTGCAGGTGATTTCAGAAAGCTGGTAACTCCCAATGAACCCAACAAGTAGAACAAAGGGGAATGGGCTACATACATTAAATACTGTTATCAAGCACTGACTGGACCCTGTTTGGTGACCTACAGCTTCAATACCTTGTGCAAAATCAATCTGCTTTCTGAGCCTCAGGCCCCCAGTTAATACAGTGAGAATGTATCAATTCCTCAGCTTACCCAGAGGACACTTCTAAAGCACTAGGACAAACCTGCAATAAGCTGGAAGCCAAATATCTACCACAGGCCAGGGGTGGTGGCGCATGCCTGTAATCCCAGCACTTGAAAGGCAGGGAGAGGCAGTTCTCTGTGAGACTGAGGCCAGCCTGATCTACATAGTGAGTTCCAGACCAGCTGGAGCTACAGAGAGATCCTGTCTCCAAACAACTAGAATGTCTACCACTGGACTCTTAAAGGAAGAATGTGAATTGGGCTAGCTACCAGACTTAAACATGACCAGCACCTTGTAGAACTTTAATGTCTTGAGAAATTATTTACTGTTAAAACTCTTAAACTTGCTGGGCGTGGTTGTGCATGCCTTTAATCCCAGTACTTGGGAGGCAGAGGCAGGCAGATGGATCTCTGTGAGTTCAAGGCCAGCCTGGTCTACATAGTGAGTTCCAGGCCAGCTGGGGCTACTGGGAGACCCTGTCTCAAAAAAGACCCCCCAAAAAAAAAAACACCTCTTAAAGTTAGGGGCTAGAGAAATGGCTCAGCAGTTAATAGCACTGGCTGCTAGACAGATCTCTGTGAGTTCAAGGCCAGCCTGGTCTACATAGAGAATTCCAGGCCAGCTGGAGCTATAGGAAGGCCCTGCCTCAAAAAGACCCCCCCCTCCGGCTGCTCTTGCAGAGGACCAAGAGTTCAGTTCCCAACATGCACATGGTGGCTAATAACCATCTATAACTCCAGTTTCAGGGGACCCAACACCCTCTTCTTGCTTCCACTGGCACGGCACACACTTAACACATTTACATACATGCAGGCAAAACACTCATCACATAAAAGTAAATTAAAGTTAAAGCCAGTTTTCTACCTTTCCCTTTGATACAGAAATATCCAAGCTTGCATCTATATGACAGGTCCTGTTCCCATCATGTGACCAGCAAGTCAGAGAGAAGTAAGTAGGGTAAGCAAGCCCCAAACCTGCCAGAAATCCATCCCAACAACAGAAAGCAGTTTAGAGCCCTGGCAGCTCTTGTCTACGCCGTATGGACAACTAGGCTGTCTCACATCTGATGGGATGGTTGGTCCCTCCAGATGATCAGCCCCTCCACAAGGCCCTCAACCTACCTTAATTAAGTTGAGAACAAACGGGGAGTACTGTAAACCATGTTCCTGGGAGGCTGCTGTAATCCGATTAATCCAGAGCTAGAGTGAGAAAACACTGAAATGTTTGATATTGACTTCTCAATGTTGCATCCCCATATCGTGCTTCAAGCAAAAGCTCTGACTGAACTAAAAAGTACTTGTTAAAATGAGTAGAAAAATGGTTTTCTTCTCAGGTGAACAAGCTTTCAGGACAAACAACAGTAAAGACTGATGCATTTCATCCAAGCATTCCATTCTGAATGACAAGCAGGCAACGCTCCATAAGGAGACGCAGGAGGATCACATGTTAGAAGCCAGCCTAAGTTACATACCAATTCCTGTCTCAAAAAAGTAAAGCACAAATTTTCTTTTTTTTTTAAATTTTTTGAGACGGTTTCCCTGTAGCCCCTGCTGTCCTGGAACTCACTATGTAGACCAGGCTGTCCTCAAACTCACAAAGATCCGCCTGCTTCTGCCTCCCAAGTGCTGGGATTAAGGTGTGTACCACCACACGCGGCCTATAAATTTTCTTTTTGAACAGCAAACAACCTGGGGTGATGGTTGCATGCCTGTAATTCCAGCACTCAGAAGGCAGAAGCAGGATAACCACAAGTTTGAGGCCAGCCTGGTCTACATAGTGAGTTTCAGGGCAGCCAGGGCTCTATAATGAGACCCTGATTCTATAACCCCAGTTACAGGTGAGGCTGAGGCATTCAGATTGCAAGCGTGGGCCACAGAGTGAGTTCAAGTCCAGCCTAGGAAACTTAGTGAAGCACTGTCTCAAAAAGTAAAAAGAGCTAGGTGTAATGGCCTAAGCCTTTAGTCATAGAACTCAGGAGGCAGGGTGGATCTCTGAGTTCAAGGCTAGCCTGGTTTACACAGTGAGACCCTATCCAAAAAAAGTAAAAAGCAGGAGAAAGGGGGCAGATAGTTCAGTCAGGAAAAGGTTGGAATTTTAGGGTTGGGGACTCCGTAACAGGTGGTTCCCCTGTGGTTCCCCTGCTAGCCAGCCTAGCCTGATCAGGTCCCAATGAGAAACCCTGTCTCAAAAAAAACCAAGGTGGTCTTTTTTTCACGTCTTACAGGGTTTATACTGAGTTCAATATTTATAGATGTATTCAACTGTGAACCTAAAAATTTTATAGTCACTTTTGAAAGAGATGTATCTTTACTCTGGAAATTGTTATTACATTAAAGCTGTAATGAAACGCTTCTTCTAAAAAATAAAAAACATGTATTAGCCGGGTGTGGTGGCACATGCCTTTAATCCCAACACTCAGGAGGCAGAGGCAGGCGGACCTCTGTGAGTTCAAGCCCGGCCTGGTCTACATAGTGAGTTCCAGGACAGCTGGGGCTACAGGGAGACCCTGTCTCAAAAAGACAAAAAAAAGACATGTATCTGTAATGAAATGCTTCTTCTAAAAAATAAAAAAATATATTAAAAATAAATTAAAAAAATAAATAACACTTGAGGTTAACCTCCATACATAAAGGTGGCTGGGCCAGAGAGATGGCTCAGTAGGTAACATGCTTGCTATATATACAAGCCCAACACCTGAATTTGATCCTGGAACTCATGTAAAAAAACTGGTTGCGGGGCTGGAGAGATGGCTCAGTGGTTAAGAACACTGGTTGTTCTTGCAGAAGACCTGGGTTCAAATCCCAGCACCCACATGACAGCTAACAATTGTCCATAACTCCAGTCCCAGGAGATCCAACAGCCTCTTCTGACCTCCAAGGGTATTGCACAACACGGGCGCACTTACCTATATGCAGGCAATACACACATACACATAAAATTAAATAATTAAAAAAAAAAAAAGCTGGTTGCAAGCTGGGCATGGTGGCTCACACTTTTAATCTTAGCACTTGAGGTGGGGGGGCAGGGGACAGGCAGGTAGGTGGTTCTCTTGTGAGAATGAGATTGTCCTGGTCTACATACTTAAATTCCAAGCCAGCTGTGGTTTACAGGGAGACCCTGTCTCAAAAAGACTTTGGAAAAAAAAAAAAAAAAAAAAAGCTGGATGCAGTGGTGCACATCTGTAATCACAGCACTCTAGAAGAATCAGAAGCTCATGGGCTAGCTAGCTTGGAATACACTGTCCAGCATGAACAAGACTCTGCCTCAGTAAGGCAGAAGGCCAGAGCATGTGTGCAAACATGCAAAGAATTCATGTCTAGCATGTGCAAGGTCCTGGGTTCATTTAATCTCCAGTACTGCCCCCTCCCCCCAAAAAAGATAAGCGGGGAAGTCACATGCTGCAACATATCTGTAGCAGACAAAGGAACAGAGGGAACGCTATAAAGGGGCAAAGGGTCCTCGGAGGATGTGGCTGGTTGGAGTAGTGGGGTCTATACCAGGCACATAAGAATCTAGAAGGGGGGCTGGCTGGAGAGATGGCTCAGAGGTTAAGAACACTGACTGTTCTTGCAGAAGACCAGTGTTCGAATCCCAGCACCCACATAGCTACTAACGACTGTCAGTAATTCCAGTTCCAGGGGATCCGACAGCCTCTTCTGTCCTCCGAGGGCATTGCATGACACGTGTGCATTTACCTTCATGCAGGCAATACACACATACACATAAAATAAAGATTAAAAAATATATAAAATAAAATAAAATATAAAATTAAATTAAATAAAAATATATAAAATAATAAAACAAAATATAATAAAATAAAATAGAATCTAGAAGGATGAATCAAAGTGACCCTAGCCAGGAGATAATGTAATGGTGGGTTTCTAAAATCGTAATCAACTGGTGTGTGCCTCTGTTGTAGGTCATTGGATGATGAGATGGGCTATTGGGGGGGGCTGTCTTTTAAGCATTGTTTACTCAGGTATATAAAACAATATTCAAATCCATTTTGTTCCTCTACCTAGTGGTTCTCAAGTTTGGACCTGTATCAGAATTCCTTGGAGATCTGTTAACCAGTTGCTGGGTCCTTCCAGAGCCTGATTCAGCTTAAGGTATGACCTTTACAAGTGCATTTCTTTTTTTTTATGTCTTTTTGAGACAGGGTCTCCCTGTAGCCCCAGCTGTCCTGGAACTCACTATGCAGACCAGGCTGGCCTTGAACTCACAGATCCACCTGCCTCTGCCTCCCAAGTGCTGGGATTAAAGGGGTGGGCTACCACGCCCGGTCTATAAGTGCATTTCTAACAAATCCCAGGGTGACCAGGGCTGTCTTGAACCCTGATGACTTGAGACTCTCCTTTGACAGCAAATGCTGACTTTTCATATTATACTTGACACTCCCATGTGCTCACAACACGGCAGTGCACCTTGGGTCTGACCAAATCCCCAGGGCCTGGGGCGGCACCACCCCGCCCAAAAGCTTGTAGCTGAGAACAGAGAACCCAAGCCAACAACCGTCCAGACCTGGGTGGGAGCACAGCCTGACCTGATTCTCAAGGTCAGAACTGAATTTTCGTGTGGCCCTGTTAACTTGATCCGTAGGTACTTACGAGAACTACGACCCAGGCCCTAAGTACTCCTACCAAAAGATAAGAAAAACCCTTCACATTTTCTGTACAAGGGTAAAAGGGCCCAGCCATACACCACCGAGAACCACGGGGAGCCGAGCTCCCGGGGACGACACTTACAGTCCTCAGGTTGCGCTTCTTCAGCCTGCGTGCCTGCGTGCACTTAACGAAGGCTCTGGTAACTGCCCTGACCGCCAGCCGGTAGCAGCGGTTCTTCCTCCCCCGGAAGTGCTAGAAAGAAAAGGGAAGCGAAGTGACGGACGGCGGCACCTGCCCCGCTGCGGCTCCCGGGGCCCTGCACGCGCACTCACCCCGGCATGTTTCAGCACCTCCTGCACCCTCCAGTAGCGGTCTGTCAGGCGGTTCCTCAGCCAGAGGCGCGTAGTAAGGAAGACCATGGCGCTGCGGGCTCCGAGAGACCGCCCCAAGCGCTTCCGGGTCGGCGCCCACCGAGGTGCCTGCAGCCTTCCGGGGCGGCCCGACTTCCGCCTGTGGCCGGCGGTGCGCGTGGAACGGGCGGAGCCGACTGGATGGGTGGAGCTGGGCGTGGACTCTAGGGACCGTGTGGCGGAGTGGCCGTGAAGTAGACCCACGGGGCCAAGGGACGGAAACCCGCCCCCGGCAAGACTACCGAGCCCGGCGTGGTCCTCTCTCGAGCAGCTGACGGATTAGGAGCACGCCGGCTCCTGGAGGGAGCTGGTGCCGGTACGTCCTGGAGAAGCCGGTAGCGACTCAGAACACCGGAGGTAGCTCGTGAACTACGGTCCAAGATTATCCCTAGTTCCGCCCGCCCCTCGGAACTTTTGGTCGGCCTTCCTGAGCCTGTGCGTGCCCTTTTACATGATTCCTCAAGAAATGAGGATTTCCCCATATACTTTCGAATTAAGGCAACTCATTTTTGAGACCACCTCTCTCCTGCAGGGAGCTGTCACTCGAAATACACTGTGCCCTGGTAAAACAGGCAGCTACTGGACTCAAGAAACCAGCAATAGAGGGTGTGAGAATGTAACTAGAATCCAGACTAGACTGCTGCTCAGGCCACAGTACCTGCAGCAACCCTTCCCCTCTCACAAATCTAGACAGTTACCCTACTGAGACGCGGTTGTGGGAATGCACATGACTGAAAATTTCATTCAAAATCAAATCTTTAGTGAATCTGAGGTGCTTCTGGCAGCCTTCACCAGTGTCCCATTTCCACTTCACTGTGGCCTTGATTCTGAGCCTGGCAGGGGACTGGTTAGTGGTACCTTATATTCTAGAAAGGAATCTACACACAAAGTCCTGTGATCTGTTTGCTCTGAGTTAACCTGTTTTTGTTTTTAGATAGAGTCTCACTATGTAGGTCTGCTACCTGGAACTTGCTATGTGGACCAGTCAGGCCTCAAACTCAACAGAGGTTTGCCTGCCTCTATCTCCCAAGAACTCGGAGGTTACGGAGGTCAGAGGACAGCTTTCAGGAGGGAATTGGTTCCCTCCTACCATGTGGTTCCCTACGATGTAACTTTGGTCCTTAGACTAGGTGGCAAGCACCTTTACCATCTGAGCCATCTCTCCAACCCTTATTTGTGTGGATGGGTAGGTGTGAGCATGCAATAGCATATACGTGGAGGTCAGAGGACAACTTGGGGTTCTCTCCTACCATGTAGAATCTAGAGATTGAACTCAGGTTGTCAGGCTTTTAATGATAAGCACTTTTACCCTGTGGGCCATCTTGCTGACCCCTCAAATGTCTGCATAATTTATTATCAGTAAGTGTTTGACTTGTATACCTATTTCATATACCTATATGCCTGGGGTCATGAGTAAAAAAATATTAAGTAACCTCAACCTACTGTCCATATTCACCTTTTGCCAAATGTCCTTTATAACTTTTTTCCCTGTTCAGGATTCATTCCCACATCATTCACCTCATTTGATGCTCTTTTTTTTTCTCTTTTTATTTTATATGTATGAGTGTTTTGTTTGCATGAATGTAAGTGTATCCATACATGCAATACCTGTGGGGGTCAGAAGAGGGCGTCAAATCCCCTGGAACTGGAGTTTAAGGATGGTTGTTAGCTGCCATATTGGTGCTGAGAACCAAACCTACATCCTCTGCAAGAGCAGCCAGTGCTTTTGAATACTGAGCCATCTCTCCAGCCCCCATTATTTGTGTGTGTGTGTATGGGCCTTGAAGATCATTGTGACGAATCCCAGTTTCCTGATACTGCATGCTGCATATGCATAAAACCTATCTATGAGATGTGGATATAGTTCTAGTAGATCATTTGCCTAGCATGAATGAGGTTCTGGGTTTGACCTGCAGCACTATGAAAATAAATTTAAAAAGATTACACCAGCCGGGCATGGTGTAATCCCAGCACTTAGGAGCCTCTAATTCCAGCACTTAGGAGGCAGAGGCAGGAGGATCTTGGTGAGTTCGGGGCCAGCCTGGTCTACATAGTGAGTTCCAGGACAGCTGGGGCTACAGGGAGACCCTTTCTCAAAAAGACAAAAAAAAAGAAAAAAGAAAAGATTACACCAAAACGTGGTGATATGAGGTGGGTAGGAGAGATGGCTCAGCACATAAAAGCACTGGCTGCTCTTGCAGAGGACCCAGTTTCAGTCCCTAGCACCCACATGGTGGCTAACAGCCAACCTTAACTCCAGTTCCAGAAGTGCCAATGTCCTCTTCTGGCCTCCATGGGCATTGGACGCACATGATGCACTTAAATGCAGCCAAAACACTGATACAATTTAAAAAAAAAAAAACCCTGATAACATGAAAAAAAACTTCTAATGTGCCAGCAAGATGACTTACTTAGTAGAGGCACTTGCCACCAAACCTGATGGTCTGAGTTTGATCCATGAGACCCACATGATAGAAGACTCCCACCAGTGACCTCTGCGTGTACCATGATGTACTGGTGTATGTGTATACACATGCACACATAGATAGCTAGATAGATGATGATAGATAGATAGATAGATAGATAGATAGATAGATAGGTGTACACGCATAAATAGATACATACATAGATAAATTAATAAATGTAATTTTTTAAATTTAAAATAAACTGGGTATGGTGGCACACATCTTTAATCCCAGCACTTGGGAGGCAGAGGCCGATGGATCTCTATGAGATTAAGGCCAGCCTAGTCTATGTAGCAAGTTCCAGGCCACCTGGGTATACAAGGAGAACTTGTCTCAAAAAAATTAAAATAGAACCTTTTATTTTGCTCATCACTGTAGGCCTTACCTTCCTGGGAATATGTAAAAGAAGAATCTATTCAACCCACATAAAGAGGGTGCAGCTAGGCTAAAGAAAGATTCTGACAAGTCCTGCTTGGTGAAATAAATTAACCTGTTAGGGTTATTTAAAGGAACATAGGCAGCTCAAAGGTGTGTATCACCAGAAAGGCTCAAACCCTACCCATGACTTTCTATTTTATTTTTTTATTTTGCTTTATTGTTTTGTTTTGTTTTAGACAGGGTCTTGCTATCTATTCTAGACTGGCCTTAAACTCACTATGTAGCCTAGTCTGGCCTTGAACCCATACCAGTCTCTTAAGTGTTGGGAATACAGGCATGAGCCAGTACACATAGCCTGAGCTCCTATTTTATATGTCTCCATGTCTCTGTGGAATTAATACAAACCTGGATTCAGAGCACTACCTAGTATTAATGTACTAGAGATGACTCCAGGCTCAGACAGTGTGAAGCAGAGAAAATCAGACACTGAGAAAGTCATATATTTGTGTGTACCTCATCATCGCTCATATCCGAGGTTTGGCAAACATTGTCCAACTCTGAGGACAGCCTGTTTTGCTGCAGTCTCATACATAGAACAGCTCAATGATGTCTTGCTGAAAGATGGCATTCCTCTGGACAGGATTCAGAGGACCAGTCCCACTATACTTAGGAATGTGCAGAAGCATGCAGTTACATTTGGGCTTGGATCCACTGCAGGCGTGGTCTATGGTGGATGGGGCTGGAACAGTGAGGATAGGAGAGCTGTGGTCCCTCCCTCTCCATGTGGCATCTCTTCCTGGGATTGTTTGGTAGTGGCTGCAAATAGGCAGACAGGTATTGAGATGGGTCATCCATCCAGCAAAGCAGAAGTTGTATCATCTTTCTGGCCCTTTCTTGGAAGTCAGATCATATCACTTCCACTGGACTTGGGTCTACATAGGAGCAAAAATTGATCCAATGTGCCAGGCATGATTATGCATGCCTGTAACACCAGGACTTGGGAGGCAGAGGCAGGCAGATCTCTGTGAGTTCGAGGCCAGCCTTGTCTATATAGCGAGTTCCAGGCCACCTGGAGCCACAGGGAGACTCTGTCTCAAAAAGAAAAAAGAGAATGATCCCTGGGGCTGGAGAAATGGTTCAGTAATTAAGAGCACTGGCTGCCCTTGCAGAGGACCCAGGTTTGATTCCCAGCACCCACCATGACCTCCATGGGCATTGCATGACACAGGCACACTTACACACAATGCAGGCAATACACTCATACACATAAAAAAGATGGATCTGCTGAGCATGGTGGTGCATGCCTTGAGTCCCAGTACTCAGAAGGCAGAGGCAGGCAGATCTCTGTGAGTTTGAGGCCAGCCTAGTCTACATAGTGAGTTCCAGGCCAGCTGGGATTCCAGAGAGACCGTGTTTCAAAAAAGAAAAAAAAAAGATTGATCCGATGTTGGAGCTGGAGAGATGGCTCAGTGGTTAAGAGCACTTCATCTTACAGAAAACCCAGGTTCTGTCCTCAGCATCCAAATGGCAGCTAACAACTGTTCTTAACTCTAGGGGATTCAACATCCTCTCCTAACGGCTTCGCATGCACATGGTACACATATATGTGCAGGCCAAACACACATAAAATAAAATTTAAATTAAAAATTTGATCAAAAAATAAAACAGCCGGGCATGGTGGCACACGCCTTTAATCCCAGCACTTGGGAGGCAGAAGCAGGTGGTTCTCTCTGAGTTCAAAGCCAGCCTGGTCTCCATAGTGAATCCAGGCCAGCTGGGGCTACAGGGAGACCCTGTCTCAAAAAGACCAAATAAGTAATTTTGATCCAATATTAAAGGGAGGAGATCACAATGAAAAAAGAGCAGGTAGCAGGGGAGATAGTTCTTAGGGCCACCTGTAAAGAATAGGATGCCCATATTTGGGTTTACTCTGAGTGTGAGTGAAAGCCACTGAAGGGAGTGCTGACATGTCATCCAGCTTGCTATGTAAGACCATTGGCCACTGTACTAAGAACAGGTGGCTTTGAGGCAAGAGGCTAAAGCAGACAGGCCTCTTAGCTATGGCTGACTTGGCCATGGCAACATCCAAGGTGAAGGTAAAGGGTGGCTTAGACCAAGGATGCAGGGGAGGGGATGGGAAGTGGCCAGACTAAAGTGTTCTGAGGTAGAGTGGTGCATGTTGGATCATCCTGTGCCCTTAAAACAATCCTGATCTAAGGACCCAAGATAACCTCTCCAGCCCCACTTTTCCACCATGCTCTCTATTGTCATTTCTCTCTTCTCTCCTGATACCAACTCACTGTTAAGTTGTAGAGAACATTCCAATGTCCGTGCCAAAGGGTCCTAGCAACCTTGTCCTTGCAGATTGTAAAAGGAAGTGCTGATATGGGAAAAGGTTTACTGGCATTTACCGTCTTTGAAGATAGTGAAACAGAAAAGATCAGGTCTGGTAGAGTGGAGTGCACCCACAGAAGTTAATTAACACAGCCCTAAGCCTGTTTCTCTCAGTTCTGTCCAAGTATGAATACTGATGCTGCTTGTAGGTGGCATGCAGACCTTAGGTTCTTTGAAGGATTGAATGATTAATAAAATGTCCAGGGGCTGTGAGCCTAGCTCAGTTTGTAGAGAATGCTTGCCTAGCATGCATGAAGCATTAGGTTCCACCCTCAGCACCTCAGAAACTGTGCATGGTGTTGCATACCTGTAATCCCAACATCTCCTTGGTGGTGGAGACAAGAAGATCAGAAGTTCAAGGTCATTCTTAGCTATTTAGCAAGTTCAAGGCCAGCTATATACAAGACCCTTGTCTCAGCAACCACAGCAACAAAAACCAAAATGTTCAAACTCCGATGGATTCCTCTTTGGTATCTCAAAACAAGTCTAGTGCAGTCTGTCCACATAATCTCCCCAACCTGTTGGCTTCTCCCCTCTGCTTCCCTCTGCTTTCTTCTCTTAAATCCATTCCACTTGAGGCACACACTCCCAACCATCTCCCTAAAGGCTTCCATTGCCTTGAATGTCAAATCTAATTGCTTTCATGGCCTTGACAGAGGTACTAATTTAGCATATTAATCCTTGCTTTTGTAATATAAAGTCTGTTCTGTAACACAGTTTTTTTTTTTGTTTTTTTTTTTTGATCTTTTTTGAGACAGGGTCTCCCCCTAGCCCCAGCTGTCCTGGAACTCACTATGTAGATCAGGCTGGCCTTGAACTCATAGAGATCCACCTGCCTCTGCCTCCCAAGTGCTGGGATTAAAGGCATGTGCCACCACGCCCGGCAAGTTTTAATTTTTTAATTCTTTTTTTAAAAAATTTCATGTGTATGAGTGTTTTGCATGCATGTATTTAAACTCACCTGTACGTGCAATGCTTGTGGAGGCCAGAAGAGGGAGTTGGATGCCCTGGAACTGGAGTGGGTGCTGGGAATTGAACCCGGGTCCTCTGCAAGAGCAGCCACTGCTCTTAACCATTGAACCATCTCTCCACCCCCATTTTTTGTTTGTTTGTTCATTTGAGATGGTCTCACTATGTAGTCCTGGCTGACCTGGAATTCACAGAGATCTGCCTGCCTTTGCTTCCCAAATGCCGGCCCTAAATTTTTTATTTTTGTAGATGGGTTTCACTGTTGCCCAGATTGACTTCAAACTCCCAGTCTTAAGGGACCCTTCTGCTTTATTCTCCCTAGTAGCTGGAACTGCAGGTACACACTTCCACATCCATCTAGTCTTTGAAAATAAATAGTGACAACAGTGGATTTTTCTATAAGGATACAGAGGCAGGGAGACAGAGACAACTGACCTTATTTCTGTTTTATCCATAGGTGGGATTCTTAGTTTATACAGTTGACTGAGTAAGGCACCAACAAGATAATGCTGTTGAAATGTTTTTATTGTCTGTATTTCCTGATGGTATGGGGGTATACCATGCTATAAAATGGCATGCAGATCCCTCAGGAGGCCAGGGAGCAAGGTGAAGCTCAGAACCCCTACAAGATTTCTGTAGGAAAGATAACGCAGGGTGGGGTAACCAGCCAGAACTGGTTTGGATAGCTCCAGTAGGCCTTGGTGCCTAGGTGATGTCCTTGGTTGCTTGTTCCTAGCCCTGGGTGATTTGAGGCAAGGAGGTTGCCTTGGCTTACAGGAGTCTCACTAGAAAATGGTCTAGAACAGGGCCTCTGGATGGAAAGGGATACATGAAAACTGTGGCCATACATTTTGTCCCTCTGATTAATGAAAGCTATTATGGATTGAGTGAAATGTCCCCTACAAGCTCATGTGTTTCCAGCTGGTGATTTGGTGTTTGGGGAAGTTATGGAACCTTTTTTTTTTCTTCTTCTTCTTTTTTGGTCTTTTTTTTTTTTTTTTTTTTTTTTAGAACGTCTCCCTGTAGCCCCAGCTGACCTGGAATTCACTATGTAGACCAGGCTGGCCTTCAACTCACAGAGATCCACCTGCCTCTGCCTCCCAAGTGCTGGGACTTAAGGTGTGCACCACCACACCGGGCTAGGTTATGGAACCTTTAAGAAGAAGGAGCTAAAGGAATTAGATTGCTATAGGGCAGGCCTTGGAGGTTATAGCCCTTCCCTCCTGATCCAAACTCTTGGCTCCCTGATCCACTGAGATGTAAGCAAGCAGCCTCATGTTCCTGCTGACACAGCCACAGCCACATCCACAAGCTGCTATGAAAATCTGCCATGCCTTCCCAATTATGAGGAACTGTAATTTGTTTTTTGAGATAGTGTCTAGCTCAGGCTTGCTTCAAACCCCCTATGTAGGTGAGGATAACCTTGAACTCCTGATCCTCCTGCCTCTACTTCCCAAGTGCTGACATTACAGAGTGCACCACCATCATACCTGGTTTATGCAGTACTAGAGATCAAACCAAGGACTTCATGCATGCTAGGCAAGCACTTTACCAACTGAGCTACTTCCACAGCCTAGATTGTGTTTTCTGAAATTATGAGCCACAAAAATTGCTACTTTTAGGTATTTTCTCCCAGAGATGATAAAAGGAACTAATATGGGAGACAAATAGAAACAGAACACCTCCACATACAGAGCAGGAGAGGGAGAGTCCCCATGGTAGACAGACAAAGGAGAAACCATCCAGCTTCAGTCAGATCTCTTACCATGACTCAGCCCTCACCAAAGAGTGTGGAGGAGGCTGGAGCTGAGGAGTGATACTCCTGGGACCAGAGCTCCAGCCACCAGCTCCCCTGCCTTCTCTCTCCAAGAACCTCTCAGGTGATTTCCATCTGACCCCCAAGCAGGGAGTGTCAAGAATCCTGATGTGGCCACTAAGGCTCAGCCTCACAGAAAGAAGCTTAGGGCTGGTGGAGCTATAGCTCTTGGAAGGCCTTTTGTTCCTTTCAAAGAGCAGGCAGTACCTGGGGCAGACCCCTATGGAATCTGGGCCACTTTACCCCACTGTGTCTTCAGGGTAGTGATGGCTCCTCGGCTCAGCAAAAGCTCTGTGATTGGGCTGTGGCCACACTCCAAAGCAAGGTGCAGAGGGGTCTTGTGGAGCCAGCCAGCAGCGTTGACCTGGGCACCCCTGTCCAAGAGGTGGTTGGCAACCTCTACATGGCCTCCCCGAGCAGCATAGTGCAGGGGTGTGAGACCCAGTGAGTCCTGAGCATCCATGTCAACTCCTCTGGCCACCAGCAGCTGTATAATGGACAAGTGTCCACCAGTGGCAGCCCTGTGGAGTGCAGAACGGTTATTCCTGTCCCTGATGCTTGGGTCTGCCCCATGGCCCAGCAGCACCTCAATGTCCTGGAAGAAAAATGGAAGAAAGAGCCTGCCTTGGTCCAGGAGGTTGAGGGACTAGGCCAGGTGTTTGCCTGACCCAAACCCTTCGGGCCTCTTTTCCTTTGAGCAAATGAAGGGGATGGGACCAAGGCAGCTGTGTAGGGACTCCATTTGAGACTCCCACTTTCCCCTCGTGGTTCTGGGATCAAATTAAACATTGTGCAAAAGCTGCTGCCATCTTGTGCTGTCTGTGGCCCAGTGGTCTTGAGCTCTAGCCAAATGCTTAATATAAATATTTGTTACTGCTGGCATAATGATGCATACCTTTAATCCCAGCACTCCAGAGGCAGAGGCAAAGGCAGATAAATCTCTGTGTCAGTTGGAGAGTTCTAAGCCAGCCAGGGCTACAGAGTGTCTCAAAAAGGAAGTGGGGAGGGCTGGACACATGGCTCAGCAGTTAAGAGCATTTACTGCTCTTAGAGAGGACCCTGGTTCGGTTCCCAGCACCCCCATGGCAGTTAACACCCATTTAAGGATTAACTCAAATTCCAAGTGACCCAATATCCTCTTCTAGCCTCTGCAGGCATTGCATAGACATTGTGCACTTACACAGATGCAAGATAAACATTCACATATAAAAATAAGCTGGGCATGGTAGTACATATCTTTAACCCTAGCACTTGGGAGGCAGAGGCAGGAGGATCTCTGTGAGTCAAGGTCAGCCTGACCTACACAGGGAGTTCCAGGCCAGCCAAGGCAACATAGTGAGACCCTGTCTCAAAAAACAAACGGACTGCAGAGATGCCTCAGCAATTAAGAACACTGGCTGCTCTTGCAGAAGACCCAGATTCAGTTCCCAACACTTACATGTGGCCAAGAACCATCTGTAACTCCAGGGGATCTGACACCCTTTTCTGGCCTCCACTAGCACTGCATGCACAGGTGCACTTACTACATTCAGGCAAAACATTCATATATGTAAAATAAAATTTAAAAACAAAAAATAAATTAATTAAAATTTGAAAAAATTGTTGTTGTGGGCTACCAGAACAAAGTGGGATTACCAGGCTGTGAATCCTCCCTAAATCTCCATGAAGTAGGGTGGTTATAAATAAGAGGGCCATAGCCGGGTGTGGTGGCGCACGCTTTTAATCCCAGCACTTGGTAGGCAGAGGCAGGCGGATTTTTGTGAGTTCGAGGCCAGCTTGGTGTACATAGTGAGTTCCAGTTCAGCTGGGGCTACAAGGAGACCCTGTCTCAAAAAAAAAAAAAAAAAAAAAAAAAGATTGTTATAAGAGGGCCCAGCTAGAATCACGCTCAGCCCCTTCACCAACCTCTCCACCCTGCCCACCAGTATTCCAGCCTCCTTCCACCACCTCAATGAGTTGGTCTTTCTCCTGTCCTCCCCAGACTTTGCAGAGGTGCAGCAGGAGGCTGGACCTACTTGCTGGTGACCTATGCTGGCTGCCAGGCCAAGCGCAGTGGTTCCTGTGCTGTCCAGGGCGTTCACTTTTGCCCCAAGTGCCAGGAGAAAGCGCAGCGCAGCCCCACGTCCGGCTGCTGCAGACACCAGCAGGGCGCCATCCAGGTCCGCGCCGCCTCGAGCAGCCAGCAGCTCCAGTACCGGTAGCTGTCCGCCTGCCGCTGCCCAGTGCGTGGCGGTCCAGCCGCGGAGGTCCTCCACTGCAGGATTTGCGCCCGGCGCCGCCAGGAGGCGTATAACCAGCGGCGTGCGACCCAGCGCAGCAGCCCAGTGCAGCGGCGTGAGGCCTGTTTCAGAGCGTGCGGCTGCCGAGGCCCCACGCCGCAGCAACAGCTCGGCCACACTCGAATGCCCATGCCAGGCAGCCTCGTGCAGCGGTGTGCGCCCTGCCTGGTCCGCTGCGTCCACCCGGGCCCCGCGCTGCAACAAGAGGCGCACCAGGGGTGCATGGCCCCGCATCACTGCCAGGTGGAGTAGGGTCCGGCCTGTGTGGTCCCTGCGGAATGCGAAGGTGTCTAGAGTGTTGCAAGTGTAGACAAGCAGCCCCAGCCAGAGAGGGGACTCACGTCAGTCCTGGAGGGCGGGGGCGGGGGCAGCTCACCTCTCCTCCACATTGGCCCCTTGCCGTAGCAGCTGTATCACCAGACTGGGAGGACCCCCACACACAGCCTGGAATAGGGTCCCCCAGCTCTGAGATGTACCGGGCCTCTTTATCTTGGCTGCTGGGGCCCCCTCCCAGGCCAGCTCCATCCACCTCAGTTCCTGCTTGGGCACTGCCAAATCCTGCCTGCTGAGTTCAGGCCTGCTGGAGTGCATCTGGGGAGAGCACAAGCCTGCCTTACACCCACTCTGAGGTCTCTGGAGGGTTCACCCTAGGTTTCCCGTGTCAGCATGGAGCCCCCACTCTCAGACACCACTTAGCTTCTGAGGAACTTGGCTCCCAATTACCTTCAGAAGGAAGTGGCACAGAGTTATGTAGTCTGGCAGGGTGTTCTCTCTATTCTGCTTCTAGCCCAGCCTTATCCTGGTGACCTTCCTCAGTAATTCTGCACCTGGGAGACTGGAGTGGCAGGTGGGAGTGGACAGAGAGCTGCTGCTTCCTCCTACACCATGCAGAGGCCACATGACCCTGTTTATCCAGTAATTGAAAAGGAGGTTCTGCTTGCCAGGTAGCAGCCCCTGCTGCTACCCCCTGCTGACTACCAAGGCTCCCTCTTGGCATCCCTACCAGGAACAAAGGCTAGCTAGCATGGGTTGGAAAGGGCAAGCAGGAGCATGTCCTGGATGACAGCACCTCTATCTCACCTTCCCAGGCAACACAGGCTTTGATGTGCCCTGACTTGCCCCTAGGTACCCTGGAACCTGCTCCCACGCCCCACCTGGAGCTGGAACTATTTCTCCTGGTTCCAGAAAGGGTTGGGGAGATAGGAACAGTAAAATTCCATTCTTCCTTCTAGTGAGACACTGCACAAGAGACAAGATTCACCATGGACATTTAGACAGGGCAGCTTAGGATAGTGGAGATGGAAACTCCTGGAGAGCTGGTAGAAGCATGCCATAGGGTTAGAAAGGAAAAGAAGTCTGGGCAGGAGGGGATGGGAACAGGCATGGGTGTTCCTGGGACAGGAGCTGCTAAACATCTGTGGCTAGAAGAGGACAAGCAGCCCTTCAGGAGCAAGGCCTTCATGTGGGCACTTGACTCTGGGCCTAGGGCATGGAGGACAGGGTTGGCCTAGTGGAGGAGAGGAGGACAGAAGTGGAAAGATCCCTATCTCGCTGGAGCCAGGGAAGCTGAATTCTGCTTATGCCAAACTCCCTGGGATTTTCACAGGATCCCTGTCTTCCTGATCTACTATGGCTTCAATCAGCTGCAGCTTTCTTTGGTGGACCCATGTGAGTCTGTCAGGGCAGCTCAGAGTCTGCCTATAGGACATAGGCCCTCTTTTGAAGCCAAAGAGCCTAGAAAATATCTGGAACAATGCTATGGTTTGAATGTGTTACCCCAAAGTTCACATTAGAAACTAATTTCCTGAAATTTGTTGATGATACTGGCAGATGGGGCCTTTGGGACGTAAGGTTAGATGAGATCATGCGGGTGGGACCACACCATAGCATTTGTGACTCACATATGCACACACACATACATACACAAAAATAAAAGACCTAGGGGCTGAAGAGATGGCTCAGCGGTTAAGAGCAATGTCTGTTCTTACAGAAGACCCAGGTTCAAATCTCAGCACCCACATGGCATCTATCAGCTGTCATAACTCCAGTTCCAGGGTTATCCGACACCCTCTTCTGTCCTCCACGGGCACTGGATGGCATGAGTGCACTTATATAACACTCATATACATGAAATAAAAATAAATAAAAATTTAAAAAAATTTTTTTTAGGGAGCTGGGAAGATGGCTCAGTGATCAAGAGAATTGGCTGCTGTTTCAGGTGACCTAGGTTCAGGTCCCAGCACCCACATGGTGGCTAACTACATTCTGTAACCTCAGTTCTAGGGGATCTGTCACCTTTTTCCAACCTCCGTGGGCATTACACACACCAGTGGTCTTACATATATGCAGGCAGAACACTCATACACCTAAAATAATTTTTTTTTTCTTTTTGAGACAGGGTCTCCCTGTAGAATCCAGCTGGTCTGGAACTCACAAAGACCAAAAAAAAAAAAAAAAAAGTTAAAATATTTTTAAATACTTCAAAAAATTTTATTTTTATTTTATGTGTAAGAGTGTTTTGTTTGCATGTATATAAATGCACTCATGTTGTGAAATGCCTCAGAGTCCAGAAGAGGCATTGGATCCCTGGAACTGGAAAGACATTGGTTCTGGGCACTAAACCCAAGTCCTCTGCAAGAGTAGCCCATGCTCTTAATTACTGAGCTGTATCTCCAGCCCCAAACGATTTTAATGATTGATTGATTGATTGATTGATTGATTGATTGATTGGTTGATTGATTTTGGTCTTTTTGAGACAGGGTCTCCCTGTAGCCCCAGCTGTCCTGGAACTCACTATGTAGACCAGGCTGGCCTTGAACTCACAGAGGTCCGCCTGCCTCTGCCTCCTGAGTGCTGGGATTAAAGGCATGCGCCACCACGCCCGGCTGATTTATTTATTTTTATTTGTATGAGTGTTTTGATTGTCTGTATGCTTACAGGTGTGTGTATAGTTCTCACAAAGGCCAGAAGAGGAGGGCAGAACTGCCATGTGGGTGCTGGGAGTTGAGCCCAGGTCCTCTGGAAGAACAGCAAGTGCTCTTATGCCCTGAGCCACCTCTCTAACCCTCAAAAGATTTTTTTAAAGAACGAGAGTACAGGCTCAGAAAGGAGCTTATTTACAACACTTTTCAAAAAGATTTTATTTCTCCATCCCCTTACAACATGTTTTTACCCCAAATTCACTACTTGAATACACAAACAGCCACTATCACATCTGGTCGTGGCTGTGCCATTGAAAGTAAGTTGCCTTTCATGGGGCATATCACAAGATACATGGCAATCCAGCTTGGATTGGGAAATGTTAAAAGGAAAGTGAAGTGACAAAGCCCACTGAAAGAAAAGGCATTATTGAGGGGAAAGCATCAGCTCATAACTTATTCATTGTTAGGAACTTATGTAAATAGTGTTTAAAAAGCTACACATTGTGAAGACTGCTGGGTACAAAGGCATTTTTGTAATATTGGGTTGAAGTGGCTGGAGTTTTCAGTGAAATATAGGTTCTCATTACCTGAAAATACTGTTGTCTACTTCCAGGATGGATTAGATTAAGCACAAAGTAATTGCAGCTGCTGCTTATTGAACACCTGCTGTCTGCAAGGTCCCATGCTAACACACTGCACACCTCCAAGCTGTCCTCCAAGTCACTCCACAATGTAGGCACCTGGAGTCTTTATGTTCCACTGATGTCAAGGAGGGGCCTTGTTGTCAGAAAAGGTGAAATTTAGGGGCTAGGGCTGCAAAGTGGGGTGGATGGCGTGCTTCTAAAATGACAGCTATTGATGAGGCAGTTGTCAGAGCCAAGATCTGTAAAACAAAGCCATTGTTTGGGGAAGCTGGAAACAAGAAGAGGGCGGGCCTGGAGGAAGGAGGGCCCCACTGCTCAGCTGGGCCTTGGGGACAGCTGTGTAAGACCTAACCAGAACACATAGGAGCTGCCTACAGTTGCCTGGCAAAGAGGCCCAACAACGTAGTAGGGAAAACTGCAGCAGGGGCATAGCCCCAGAGACAGTTCAGTGCTGGACTAAAACTGGACTATCTAGCATGTGCATGTAAGTTGTATCTGGGGACGGTAAAGGAGTCTCTACTTTGACCCTGGGGGGCGTAGTTCTGCTGCCCATCACTTTGATATTGGAGGAGAACATCCTCCAAGGCCCACCGCCAGGATATGAGTGAGCAGGAGAGGGATACAGAAGAGGATGAGGGAGGGGATGCCTCAGACACAGAGCCCATGCTGCCCCGAGGGCCTACTGAGGACCACACCTCAACCTTGACATGCCCAGGGTGGCCTGGCCTGGCCACCCGAGGCCTCAGCACCCTACTGCTGCCTGGTCAGGCCCTGGTTGGATTCCTGTTCCATCTGCTGCTACCTGGGACAGTTTTCCTGCTGGTGCTGCTGCCAGCTGCTGCGGTTGTCTACCTGGGATTCCTGTGCCATTCAAGGGTGAGCCTGTGCATCCATGGGTTGGTCCCTGGGGAGTGGGGATCCTGTGGGAGATTCAGACCCCTGGGGTTGAAGGTGAATTTTCCCCTTTCTAGCCCTGCCCCTTTGTACCCAGAGCTGTATGTATTCTCCTCAGGAACCTCCTCTTGTGCCAACACCCCTACCCACTGCATCCAAAGAAAGGCTTTTGTTTGTTACCCAGGGGACAGCTGTCTTGCCTCCTCCCTGAGGCCTCCCAGTCTTGCACCAGGGGACACCAGGGCCTAGACAGTGTGGTTGAAATGAGGAGGGGAAGAAACTATCGATTCCTCAAACCCTCATACACACAGCCTTTCCCCAAACCCTGTTGAGCTGGGCTGGGCTTGGCTTCTCCACCTGTGGAAGAGGCTATAGCTTGGTCTATATACAGATGGCCCCTGTATCCCCTTTCTGTGGCTTATGGTGTGGGAAGGAAGTGGTGCTAGCTGGTGACAGTCCAGCTGGAGCTTAAAGTCAGCTGCCAACACAGGGAAGGACCATGAGGGGAGTATAGATGGGGACAGCAAAACCAAGGTGGGGAGCCAAGGGCAGTTCTCTGGGCCTTTCTTCAAGGAACTTCTCCCTACTTAGGCCATTTATAATCTGCCTTCCAGACCTCCATTCAGTCTTCAGTACTGCTTGGCTCAAAGCAGCCCACCTCTGCTTCCACTCAGCTGTCTTCGGTTCTCAGCACCACCACCACTCACTCTCTTGGCCCCGCCCACACAATTTCTGCCTCCCCATGACCCCGTCCCAAGGCTTTCCAGCCCCTAACATTCTCTCTACACTAGCAGCCCAGCTCTCCAGGCCTCGCCCTACCCAGCTGGGTCCCATGACCTCCGCCCCTAACCCTAACCCTCCCCTATCCCTCTCCAGGCCACGCCCCACGCCTGGGTTCCGCGGCCCCGCCCTCTCCAGGCTCCGCCCCTCTCCGGCTCCAGGTCCCCGGCGTGACCGTCCCCCTCTATGGTTCGCAGGTTCATCCAACGCCTGGTCCAGGGTGCCGAGCTGTGCTCTCCGACCGCGGCTCCGCGGCGCTCATCGTGTTCGGTTTCCTCTCGCTGCCGCTGCTCCTCGTGCTCGCCTCGGCCGCCCGCGCCCGCCTGCTCCGGAGACTCCGCCCTCTCCTGCCAACCCCTTCGGGGACCCCCGAACCCCGCGGTCCCCAGGGATGCAGCGAAGGGGGTCTGGTGGGCCGCCGCCCTGACGAGAAGGAACAGCTTTGTGCCTGGGTCTCCCAGTACCCCCTTCCCATGCACCCCATAAAGAGGCAACAGCCGGGTCTCTGTGCGCAGTGCTCGGAATCTCCAGGAGATGGCACTGGAGTCCCTCTGGGCTGGGTTGGCTCTTCCCGCCTGCTCCCTCCCGAGCAGCACTTTCTTTGTAGCTAGCGCCTGCGAGGTGGTGCTCTGAGAACACAGCCCTCTTGGCCTCTGCTTGGAGCTGCCTGGGCTCTGCTCCCTCACGAAGCGCTGGCACTCCATGCTCACCTGTGACCAGCAGCCATTTCCAATGCGCCAGAGGTGGTGCAGCCCGCCTTGCTGACATCCATGTCCCTAAATGCCCTTGACCCTAGAAGCTCGTGGTCAGCAGCGCAGGCTAGCAGGGCTCATCCTGTGACTCAAGGGTCAACTTGAGTCTAAGGTCAGCCCAGGACAGGACTCAGTTGGGTCCAGGGTCAAACCGTGACCAGGTCAGGTTTCTGTTTTTGTCTAGGTTTTGCCCGAGACTAGAGTCTGAGCTGAATGGCTCAGCTTGAGCTCAGGGTCAGCTTGTGGCCAGGCTCATAGGGTTAGCCCATGGCTAGCATCCAGAGCTCAGCCCTGTTCAGGGTCAGACATCAGTTTGATCCAGAACTGGGGCTCAACCTGTGACCAAAGTTCTTTCTTTTGAGATAGGTAGCAAGCAGAGTAAAAGATCAGTCTACTTTCTGGGTGATTTTTAAGATTTCTCTTTGTCTGGCAGTCTGCAGTTTTACTAACATATTTCTGTGTATGGATAATTTTCTCTCTTCCCCTTCCTCTTCCCTCTTTCTCCTTCTCTTCCTCTTCCTTTTCCTACTTTCCCTTTCCTCCTTCCTTCTTCCAGGGCCTCATACTATAAATATTTTCATTTCTTGGTTTTTGTTTTATTTTGTTTTGTTTTGTTTGTCTTTTTGAGATAGGGTCTTCCTGTAGCCCCAGCTGTCCTGGCACTCACTATGTAGACCAGGCTGGCCTTGAACTCACAGAGATCTACCTGCCTCTGCCTCCCGAGTGCTGGGATTAAAGGCGTGCGCCACCACGCCTGGCTTTTTCATTTCTTTTTTAAAAAATATTTTATTGGCTGGAGAGATGGCTCAGCAGTTAAGATCCGAACACTCGGGAGGCAGAGGCAGGCAGATCTCTGTGAGTTTGAGGCCAGCCTGGTCTCCCTAGCGAATCCAGGCCAGCTGCAGCTACAGGGAGACCCTGTCTTAAAAAGACACAAAATAAATAAATAAATAAATAAATAAATCCAACATTGACCTCCAGCTTCCTCACACGTGTGCATCCATGCATACAAACCTGCATGTTTATACATAACACACACATAATTGTATGTGTGTACATAGATAATGTGCAGGGGAAAGGAAGCCAGTGGACCAGGGGCATAAGTTGTATGCATGGGTGAGTCTGATGACGGGCAGACAGATGTTTCTTGATTTTATTATAGATTTTTGATGCAGGCAATACACTCATACACATAAAATAAAAATAATAAAATATTTTATTTTTTTAAATTTTATGTGTATGAGTATTTTGCCTGCATATGTAAGTGCACCATGTGTGTGCAATGCCCACACAGGCCAGAAGAGGGTGTTGGCTCCCCTGGAACTGGAGTTATGAATAGTTGTTAGTCACCATGTGAGTGCTGGGAATTGAACCTAGGTCCTCTGGAAGAACAGTAAGTGTTTTAACCATTGAGCCATCTTTCCAGCCCCTCAGCTTTCATTTCTTAAACCTTTCATTGCATACTATTTTCTATTCCGTACTTGGTATTTTCAATTTCCTGGTATCTGAGGATATAGATTGTTGTTTCTGCTGATTATCACTAATAACATGATGTTTCTTTGAATGTTTTTGGTTACTTGGTGCTGGGGATTTTACCTAGGACCTTGATCATTCTAAGCACGAATTCTACCACTGAGTAACCATCTTTGTAATCTGTAATGTCAACCCATATCTGTGATTTGTAGGGCACTAACTTGGAACACTTTCCTCCAGAGACAAAGAAATGGTTAGCCCAGCCCCCCTTTGGATACTGGCTTCATGGCTCTCAATTCAGAGTACTCACTCCTGTTTCTCAGATCCCAGCATGACCTTGTATTCAGACAGTTCTTTTCTTTATTTTATTTTCTTTATTATTTTTTTATTTTATGTGTATGCATGTATTGCCTGCATGCAGGCAAGTGCACCGGTGTTGTGCAATGCCTGCAAAGGTCAGAAGAGACTGTCAGATTCCCTAGGACTGGAGTTAAAGAGGGCTGTTAGCTGCCATGTGGGTGCTGGGATTCGAACCGGGTCTTCTGCGAGAACAACCGGTGTTCTTAACCGCTGAGTTATCTCTCCAGCCCCTAGTTCTTTACTTTTCTATCTGCTCTCTTCATGATCCTGGATTGCTACTTACTATTGTAGTTTGACTTTTTTTTTTCGGTCTTTTTGAGACAGGGTCTCACTGTAGCCCCAGCTGGACTAGAACTCACTATGTAGATTAGGCTGGCCTCAAAGAGCTCACAGAGATCCGCCTGCCTCTGCCTCCCAAGTGCTGGGATTAAAGGCATGTACCACCACGCCCAGTGTTGTAATTTGGCTTTTTTTTTTTTTGTCTTTTTTGAGACAGGGTCTCCCTGTAGCCCCAGCTGTCCTGGAACTCACTATATAGACCAGGCCGGCCTTGAACTCACAGAGATCCACCTGCCTCTGCCTCCAGAGTGCTGGGTTTAAAGGCATGCGGTACCACGCCCAGCAGTAGTTTGGATTTTTAAAAATTACATTTATTTATTTATGTGGGGGGGTGTGCTCATGCCGTGGTATATATGTGGAAATCAGAGGATATCTTTCAGTAGTTACTTCTCTCCTTCCACCATATGGGTCCCAGGGATCAAACTGAGGTTGTCAAGCTTGAAAGCAACTGCCTTAACCCACTGAGCCATCTCACTTGCTCCATGGTTTGGGTTTTTTGTTGGGAGGAAGCCTTTGAGATATTTATGTTCTTGTAAGCCAGTGATATATTAAAAATATGCTCATTTTAATTTACCTGGAATCTAGTTGTAACATAAAGATTATTTATCTTTGTGGAATTCACTATGTAACCCAGGCTGGCCTAGAACTCATGATCCTCCAACCTCAGCCTCCCAAGTACTAGGATTACTGGCATGTGTCACTATGCCTATACTGAAAGACCTATTAAAGGATCTAGCACACCACATTGCTAGGGCTGCTCAGCCTGTGACCCGCTAGGGTCAGAGCTCAGCCTATGACCAAGATTGAGCTCATTCTGTGTCCTGGAGCATATAGCCCAGTGTGTGGCTGGGTTAGGTGCACTGAGTGTCTTGTGTGTCTCGGGGCTTCCCAACCTTCAGCTAGGTCCAGCTCTGATTCCTTTCCTGATCAGACAGGGTAACAGAGCCAGGCAGTCGCCAAGCTGCTCAGGAGTGCTTCCTCTAGACTGAGGCCGCCTTCCTTCCCCTTCTGCCAGGGGCTGGTCTAGCCAACACCAGAAGTTGAGGATGAAGGGTCTCCTGGGAAACCCTTGGCTAAGGATCTGATCCGCCTGGCTCTACAGCCATCAAAACAACAGCTGGGGCCTGGTGGGGGTTGGGAGGTGAGTGTGGAGATCAACTCCTAAACTCATGTTGCTGCTGGATGGGTAGGGAACTCTGTCCATGGCAGCTGCCTGAGGCAGCCAGTTTCCAAAAGGTGTTTCCCAGCTTCTGAAGCCCACCTTGAAGTCTTAGATGTCCTCCAGCTGGCCCTGGATATGTCCAACGGATGACCTGCCTTCGTCCCAGCCTTCCAGACATGCTTTCAAAGGAACACTTTGTATAGGGCATGGTGGCTCATGCCTGTAAAATTGCAGCTCTGGGAAAGCAGGAAGATCACTCACTATGCCTTTGAAGCCAGTCTAGGTTGCATAGTGACTTCCATTTCAGCTTGGGCTACAAAATAAGACTCTGTCTGAAAAAATAAAAAGGGGGGGGGTGCTGGAGAGATGGCTCAGCGGTTAAAAACACTAGTTGTTCTTGCAGAAGATCCAGGTTCGAATCCCAGCACCCATATGGCAGCTAACAACTGTCTATAACTCCAGTTCCAAGGGATCTGACAGCTTCTTCTGTCCTCCTCGGGCACTGCATGACATGGGTGCACTTACCTACATGCAGGCATAACACTCATACACTTAAAATAATAAATAAAATATTTAAAAGGGGGCTGGAGAGGTGGCTTCGCAGTTAAGATCACTGGCTGCATACACATAAAAAATAAAAATAAACAACAAGAACACGGAATGGAACTGAGGGGTGGGGTATAGCATGGTATGCCCTGGTGTTATGTAAGACAGAGACAGAAGGTCTGGGTTCCATCCCAAGGGTACCAAAAAAGGAACACTATGGAGATAGTGGAGGTCTGCAGAAGGGGTTTAGGCTTTACCACAGTTGGGCCATCTGTAAGAGAGGCAGAGCCTGGGTGCTGAATAGACAGAGCTGGCTCATCATATAACCAGACACAGGTCTGAGGACAGACACTACCCTTTTCAGGGGTCCTAATGGGCCCTTCCATAGCCACCATCTGAGCAATTTCCTAAAAATGGGGAACAAGGCTATGGTATGATGGGAAGTGGAGGCCTGGCCCTTTAGCTACAAGGTTCCCCTCCACCCACCATCCCCTGCCTGGTACGTACCTGACCTGGGCCCCAGAAGTCTCTCCCAACTCTTGCCTCTCTTTTTTTTTGGGGGGGGACAGGGTCTCCCTGTAGCCACAGCTGGCCTGGATTCACTGATTCACTATAGAGATCAGGGTGGCCTCAAACTCACAGAGATCCATCTGCCTCCACACCATACCTGGGCTCTTTTTTAGGGCCTTGGGTTCTAGCCCCTAGCCCAAAGGTCTGGAACAGCCTCTTCCCAGGGTCTCTTCCTCTCACCTTCACTCCGACTCCTTAGGCCCAGAGCTAAGCTGCTGAGTGGGTCAGCCAAGACCTCCACTTAGGGAATGGAGACTCCTTTCCCAGAAACTGAAGGCCTGCCTCACAAGAGAGAGGCTGGTGTGTGTACATATGTGGGTGTGTCCTGTCTCCTTGCCCCTTAAGCTTTGAGTGACTGCATCACCACAGGTGAAGAGAGGCTGGGCTCCCCACCTTACCTAAAGCATGCATTCATTCAGAAAGTATTTGCAGGCACGCCCTCAGACTGCACCAGCCGGGAGAGGCTCTGGGTTTAACCAGCTTTGTCCATCCAGTTTAAGCTCTGGGTTTAAGCTCTAGCTCTGCTTCCCTCCCAGGCATGTGGGTTGGGCTCTGGGCAGGAACTGAGTCTAGGAGGGTGGGCTGAGTAAGAATAGACAGGGCTGGTGCTGGTCCTGAGAGCTAAGGCCTCACCTTCTAACCCTCTGGGCCCCCATTGTTTGGAGGCTCCCCTTCAAAGGCCAGGGGCTTGACCAAGGGCAGCTAGCTGCCTGAGACTACCTGGGCCCTCCTTGGGGCTAGGACAGGGAACTTGGGTCATTTCTTAGAGAAATAATCCAGCTAGGACCTATGGTGGTCCCACGTCAGGAACATTCTGTTCAGCTAGTGGCACATGTGGGGTTCCTAGTCTATCTCTGGTGGCTGATCCCTGGGGGGTTTTACTGGAGTCATGGAGTCAGCTACCCTACTCACATTGCCCTAGACCTCTGTACTGCATTCTCCTGATACTCAATTCCACTGGCCTCCCTATGGCCTGAAGGCTGCACAGCCTGGCCTGTTCCATCTGTCCCAGTCCATGCCTCCTAATGCCACACACATGCACCCCTACCCCCAGGTCTTGGCACTTGCTGTTGCCTCTGCTTTATGAGGCTCTTCCTTCTCTAGTTTCTACCTTGGAGTCCCCACTGGCTTCCTGGTCTCACACAGCTACAGCTTCCTCAGGGAAAATAAGTAGCTCTGTGTATTATTTTTATATCACTGTGACAATACCTGACAGGAACAACTTAAGATTTCTTTTGGCTCAACATCTCAGATGGTTTTAATCCATCATGGTGGGAAAGGCATGGTGGAGCAGTTCAGACCATGACAGCAGGAATGGGTAATGATGGAAGCTTTTCATATCACCACAGAATGGGTAATGATGGAAGCTTTTCATATCACCACAGACCAGGAAGCAATGGGAACTAGGGGTCTGGCTAGAACCTCCAAAGGCCCACCTACCAGTTAGGCACAACCTCCTAAAGGTTCATGGATTCCCAAAATAGTACCACCGGCCAGGGAACAAGTGTTCAAAACATGAGCCTAGGGGAAAGCCTCAGATTCAAACCCTAACACACCGCTGCAAGGAGGGGTCTTGGAGGAGTTCAGACCCTATTCCCCTGCTCCAGGCTGTCAACAGCTGCTCCCACCACTTCCTGTTTCTGTGTCTTGATGTGTGCCTGGGTTTTCATGTGGGATACAAACAACATGACAAACAGTGTCTCACAGTCAGCGTGGAAGAGTAGGGGCAGAACTGGCTGCTCTGTCCTGGGCTGGGGTCAGGGGTGGGGTCAGAGGCCTTAGGAGCTGCCCTTTTCCCTGGGGCTGAAACATGACCACAGCCATCTGGGGACAAAAGGCCCTTCTTCTTTACAAAAGCTGACTGTGGGAGGGAAGGAACATTCCCTGTGGACCTCGGGTGGGGGCAGGGACTTCCAACTAAGACCAGTGTCTCTGGGTTTCGGGAAACCCCTCCACCTGCCTACAGACAGGCAGGGCAAGGCCAGCTCTAGGAAGTGCAGCACAGGGACTCCCAGTCCAGAGCCAAGGCCTTGGGGGATGGGGCAGCTTCAGTCTCAAGGGTTGTCTCCAGGTTGACAGGAGCAGGAAGGGGCAGTCCCTGGGGGACATGAGGACTGAGAGGTCAAGGTCCTCCTGGCCTGGCTCCTGCTTGCTTGTTCTCATGTCTCTGCCCACTCTCCTCCCCTGAGCCTCTTTCTCTTCAAAGACAAGGCTTCCGAACTATTTTGTTTGTGCTTCCTCTAATGTCAGCCTCAAGCTGAATTCTGGCCCTGACCACTGTACTTCTGGCTGACCCCATACCCTTGGGTATCTGTGTATCCTCTGGAGGTGGGAACAGCAATAGGGAGTAGAGCAAGACATATGGGGGAAACTTGTCTGGTGGCTGAGCAGGGGTAGGGATGATGGGAAGGGTGTCCCAGGGAGTTTGGCAGAAGGAATAAGTCTGGGCCTGAGTTCAAGGCAGGCAGGTGGCCGAACTTGGCCGGAGCTGGTGGAGGCTGGGAGTCCTGTGCCCTCTCCCTCTGATGGTGAGGCCAGAGGGAGGAGGGCAGCTGCTTCCTCAAGGGCCTGAGTCACATCCAAGAAGATCCGCTCACTTTTTCCAGAAGGGATGGAAACAGGACAGGCTGAGGTGTAGGCCTGAGGGCTATGAGCCTCTGCCTCCCTGTTGGGCAGATACACCAAGACCCAGGTCCCTGGCAGAGCAAGCCTGGGGATAAATGGTCCTGCTGGATCCTGATAGCCACTGCTCACAATGCCAATCTCCATAGCAGCCCTGCATCCTCAGAGCTAGCCCCTGGGTGGCACGCCCTGACATCTGGGGGGCCTGTACCCACTGTTCCCATCCCCAAGGCCTAGGCAGAAGTATCAAGCACTTTCTGGTCCATGCAGAGGCCTGAGGTTTGTGGAGCAGAGCCAACAGCCAGTGCCAAGATTCCCGGCAAGGGGGGTGGGGACGGCGGCAAGGACACAGCTCTCCGCTTGTTCCTGAAGCAAGCTTCTCAGCCTTACTGCTTCCTTTTTTAGGCAAAGCCAAGCTTCAGCCCAGTCCTCAAGGCCCCACAATGTCTCACCTGCCAGAAAGGGAGGAAGGAAAACCATTGAGTCCCATCCGTCCTCCCTGCTGTGCATCCTCCTGCAGGGGTGGGGAGGTGACATCCTGGCAGACAACCACCCTCCACATGTGCTTCAGCCCCCAACACACCAGTTACCAGACAGGCAAGCATCTTAGGAGGGCACCAGCCTGTTTAGCTCTTTTGAAGTACTCAATGTCCTGGGGACCACCCTTGTAGCCAGTTTCCTGTCTGGGCTAAGCCAGGACTGCAGGGCCCAGGTCTGCCTCATCAGTGGGTTCCTATGGTCCTGCTGCGGCCTGGGCCGTTTGGGTAGTGTAATGTGGACAGCAAAAGATCCATCATGGTCATACTCATTAGGTTCTGACCATGTGACCTGCTCCAGTGTCCTGTTTTTTAAAAAAAATATTTATTTTTATTTATATGTGTGTATTGCCTGCATGTATGTGAGTGTACCCGTGTAGTGCAATGCCGCGGAGGTCAGAAGAGGGCTTTGTATTCCCCTGGAACTGGAGTTAAGGACGGTTCGTAGCCGCCATGTGGGTGCTGGGACTCGAACCCAGGTCCTCTGCAAGAGCAGTCAGTGCTCTTAACCGCCGAGCCAACTCTCCAGCCCCTCCAGTCTCCTCTTAAGTGTCCTATGGTCCACCTTCCTTGATTAGTCTTTGTTGGGTCCTTGTTGAGGGGAGGTTGCTCCTTTGTATGGCTCCACTTGTCAGGCTCTCTAGTTTGGGCTTGGGTTCAGGGAGTCTCAGCACCAAGGCACGCACGCGTGGGGGCGGGGGAGGCTCTAAGGGAAGGAGAGGAGAGAGGTGGGGAATGTGGAGAGGGGTGGCAACAGCACAGTCTTAGAGTCTGCGAAAGGGAGACCAGAATATATATGTGTGTGTGTGTGTGTGTGTGTGTGTACCCACGCGTGTTTGCCTTGGTGACTGCTGCGTGTCATTGCAAGTCCTGGTCCGGCGCACGCGCGCCTTGGTGACTGCTGCGTGTCACCGCAAGCCCTGGTCCGCTGATGCATGTATCGAACTACTTGGTGCACGTTCGCGTCTGCGCGCGCGGGTGAGTGCGTGCGCGTCGAGCAAGGGCGTGGCCTCGAGAGTGGGCGTGGCTTCTCGGAGGTGGGGTGGGCCTGCCTGGAGGCTGGAGGGCCAGCTAGCTGCGAGCTGAGGCCAGGAGCTAGCCACGCCAGGCGCGATGCTGTTCTGGACTGCGCTCAGCCTAGCCCTGAGTCTGCGGCTGGCGTTGGCGAGGAGTGGCGTTGAGCGCGGTAAGTGAGCTGGGACCCGAATTCCGGCTTCTCGGGCCAACGGCCACTGCCCACGCGGGTCGCGACGAGTGGGCGGGGAGGCTGCGGGGCGGGGCGCAGGCTGAGCACCCCAGCCACCTGGGGCGGGTGCGCCCAGTCGCTCCTGGTGGCACAGCTGAGCAGCGCCGGACGCGGAGGGCATATGTGCCCTGCCCATCTGGATAGTGGAGAGATGTCTGGGAGGCCCCCCAGCCTCAGTTCCCTCATTTTTGTAGTGGCCCTCAGTAGGAAGATTGGAGTGGCCTCACCATATGGAGGGAAGCCTCAAGGCCAAGATTAGAATCCAGGCATCCTGAGCCCTTGCCTACTTGAGACCTAATGATGGCAGGTCCCATCGGTACCTTAGCCTTCAGAACTGGAAGGAAAAGGGATAGAGGAGGCTCAAGAGACACTGATTGGGCCCTCAGGCTCCTGTTTTCTTGGTCCAGATAGAACAGAAAATGAGGGCCAGGGGAAGAGAGGGGTGATGTCATCCCTAACTGGGGTCAGGACTTTAGCCTTCCTCTCTGGGCTGGGAGAGCTGTACTGTGTTTTGTCTACCCCCATCCCTTCTCTTCTGCCCTCCTCCCACCCTCCACTCCTGACCCATATCTGTGCGTGACCCATATCTGTTGCTTCACCTGGAGGCTGAGCTTCCTAGCTTGACCATCCTGGAGGTGGCTCCTCTGAAAATCAAGTCTGAAGGAGCAGTTGTACATGGCTCCAACCCCTCCTGGGGACCTAGGCCTGACTCCTTAGCTCCACCTGCATGCAGTGTTTATTGAAAAAAGGGGCCAGCACTCTTCTATAGATGGGACATGAGGCAGCCCCAAAGTACCCTAGGTCACATGGCTGATGTATGAGGGAGCCAATGGAGAGTGTGGGTCTCTTTTTAGCTCAGAACCCCACTCTGGGGGATTCTACTTCTAGAATATTTTGACAAATGCAAATATGCACTTAGGAGCTCAGGCCTTTGGGGGTGTGGTTCTGCCCTGAGCATGGGGCTGTCTGGATGTCCACCACAAGGCTGAACCCCTTGTCTTTTCTCCCAGGTCCCCCAGCATCAGTCCCCCAGGGGGACTTGTTGTTCCTGCTGGACAGCTCAGCCAGTGTGTCACACTATGAGTTCTCCCGGGTTCGGGAGTTTGTGGGGCAGCTGGTGGCTCCGATGCCCCTGGGCTCTGGGGCCCTGCATGCTAGCCTGGTGCATGTGGGCAGCCAGCCATACATGGAGTTTCCCTTCAACCAGTACAATTCAGGCCAGGCTGTCCAGGATGCCATACGTGCTGCAGCCCAGCGCATGGGTGACACCAACACAGGCCTGGCACTGGCTTATGCCAAGGAGCAGCTGTTTGCTGAGGCAGCAGGTGCCCGGCCAGGGCTGCCCAAGGTACTGGTGTGGGTGACAGACGGGGGTTCTAGCGACCCCGTGGGACCCCCTATGCAGGAGCTCAAGGACCTGGGCGTCACCATCTTCATTGTCAGCACCGGCCGGGGAAACCTGCTACAGCTGTCGGCAGCCGCTTCAGCACCTGCTGAGAAGCACCTACACTTTGTGGATGTGGATGACCTGCACATCATTACCCCAGAACTTCAGAGTTCCATTCTTGGTAAGTGAGAAAGAGGGGCAGAGCCTATGAACCCCTCACTGATAGCTGCAGGGAGAGCTGGGTCAAAACTTCAGGGGGGACTCATGAACCTGGTACCCTGGAGGATGCAGCAGGTTCTCTGTGTACAATACAGGGACACACTTCACTTGGGTGGCTTCATGTGCCCTGGCTCCTGGGCTGCAGAGACTATGGCAGGCCTGAGTGACTAACTCTCGGTGGGATTCCCTGGCAGGTGTGGGACAAGGGACTGAGGACTACTTTGGGTAGGTCCAAGCCCCATTCCCCAGATTCTGCCTACAAAGTTATGTCCTTCTGTGCTATCATGTCCAGGGGCCAACAGGCTTGCCAGGCCTACCATTCCCAGAGGGAGGAGAACCAGATAGGTCAGGAATTACCTCCTACAGCACTCAGGCCTTACCTCTTCCATGTAAGGACAGCCACCAAGGGGTTTGAGCTGGTTTTTACTCAAGCCCATTGTGAAGACTGCTGGAGATGCCAGAACAGGGAAGAAGGAGATTAGCAGCCTGTGACCAGCTTTCTTCTGGACCTCTCATAGATGAACCCTCAAGGAGAAGGAACTAGAGACTAAGCACCTGGTGGCTTGGTCTGTGGTAGGCACTGAAAAATGCTACCACTCCAGGGTAGCATTCTTACCAAGTCTCTGACTGCATTAATCATCTACACTAAACAGGAAGGGGTTGGTCTGTGGTTGGAAAGGGGTGAAAGGTCTTCCTCAAGATCTCCCCTAGGGACATCTGAGCCCTGGTAGCCCCCAGATGAACCTGGAGCAAGCAGGAGAAAAGGTTGCCATCAGAGTTAGGCAGTAGGATGGGGGCGGGGGGCTGTTGTTAGGGCACAGTCTGACTGGGGAACTGGGCAGGAAAGCAGGTACCCAGCTGGCTAGCCTCACTGCCCAGCAAAGAAGAAAGTCAGGATTTGAATGGACCTAACCAGCCTTAACCAGCTGCATATCATGATGTCTGTTGTCCTAGGCCTAAGGACCCACTCTAGAATCCTCTTGACACTCTCCTATAGGTGTGAGGCAGGCAACAACCCCGAACTTTGGATCCCACTACCCCTGGGACCTCCAACCTGTAGTCTCCCTTCTCCTGACTGCACCCTCTAGTCCACACCCCCCACAACTGTTGAGAACATAGTACACACCAGACTTGTTGCTGGCCACTCAGGTTTGGGGACCTGTCCTCTGTTCTTAGATAACACTGTGAACCTTGCCACCTTTGAGGGACCTTCATCCAGGGAGTTAGTTGGTCTAGATGAGGAAAGGCCACTGTATCTCACAGGTCTGAGTTTGGGGCTAAAGTAGGAAAGGAAGCTCTTGTTGGAAACTGCAACCCCTTGGGTCCTACCAGTCCACTCTCAAGTTTTGTAATCATTAGCACCTGCTGCTAGTGAATGTCAACCTGGCTCCTCTTGGGAGACACCTTCACCTGTCTTACTGGGACTCATTTTCGGGTCCTCTCTGGATCTGGTGACATGGAGAAGGCCATCTTTGTCCCCTGACCCCACACCACATTATCCTCAGATGCAATGCAGCCACAACAGCTTCATGTCTCAGAGGTTCTGTCCAGAGGCTTCCGTCTGTCCTGGCCACCCCTACTAATGGCAGATTCTGGTTACTACGTGCTGGAGCTTGTGCCCAGAGGTGAGCTGGGAACCTCAAGGCGCCAGCAGCTGCCTGGGAACGCCACCGGCTGGACCTGGACTGGCCTCAGCCCCGACACAGACTATGATGTGGTGCTTCTGCCAGAGTCTAACATACGCCTCCTGAGACCCCAGCACGTGCGAGTGCACACCCTGCAAGGTGAGGCTGGGGCGCTACAAGGTGAGGCTGGGGCTGTGCATGCGGGGTATGCCTCCACTCAGCCTCCTTCTTCTTCTGCAGAGGAGGCCGGGCCGGAGCGCATCATCATCTCACACACCAGGCCGCGCAGCATGCGCGTTAGCTGGGCCCCTGCGGTGGGCCCTGAGATCGCCCTTGGCTACCAAGTGCAGCTCGGGCCTCTGCGGGGGGGCGGCTCCCTGCAGCACGTGGAGGTGCCAGCCAGCCACAACAGCACCATGATCCAGGGCCTGGCTCCCTGCACCGCCTACCTGGTGACTGTGACTGCAGCCTTTCGCTCAGGCCGCGAGAGAGCGCTGTCGGCCAAGGCCTGCACGCCCTCTGGCGACCGGACACGTGCCCCGCCAGGACACCAGGGCCCATGACGGCCTACCCTGCCCACCCGAGGGTCCCTTCCCCTTTGCCCAGTGGGGGAGACGCCTCCGCTGCTGCAACTGAAGTTTTGCCCAGGGGTTAGGATGTGGGCCCTGCCATTGTTCCATGTGGCCCCGTAGACCTTTCCCTGCAGGTCTGCCAGAGTGCGGGCCTTGCCTGACTCCTAGGACTCCTGGGACGCATGGCCACTCTGGTAACAGCCCCCGCAGTGGCGACCTTTACCGGTTGCCAGTCCAGTGCTGAGCTTATGGTTTTATTCTTTTGGCAGCATTTGGTGGGAAGTTGGACTTAAGACCCAGGACAGGCCATTAGGAGGGGAGGCCACAGGGCTTCCCACCTCCCACCAGTGCCAAAGACTGGGGTCTTCTGGTGGCAAAGGCCCTGTGGCATGGAGCAGAGGGACTACTCAGAACCACTTAGGTACTGCTTGTGAATAGAAAGTGGATGGGAGAAGGGGAGGAGAGACTTGTTCAGCCAAAGACTTGCTGAAGAAAAGGAAGGATTAGGAGGGGTACTGAAAGGCTGCCTTCCTGTCCAGGACCTAGGCAAGGCTCAGCTAGCAGTGCCTGGGATACAGAGTGTTTGAGGGGAGTGGGATGGGAATCCGGCATTCAGCACCTTGGGGTTAGGAGTCCCTCTGCCACTGGTAGACTTTAAGGCAGACACTTGCAGGGAGCCCCTTGTGCTACAAGTTTGGGGAACTTCATAGGGGAGGGGAAACAAACAAGGTTCCCTAGGGCAGATTCACTCCAGCTCTGAAACACCTAGCCCCAAGGTCTCATGTGGTGGACTACTTCCTGTTTTCACCTCCTACCCTAGGGCTCTGGATAAATTGCCAAGGGTGGACAGGAACAAGCTGCCTCCGTAGCCCCTATTGGGCAGAGCCTCTGCTCCCAAAATCACCTGCCTCAACACAAGCTCACTTTGTCTTCCCCACTAACAACCCAGACCCCAAAATATAGCAAGTCAGATATAAACAGAGCCTGAAGTCTCATTAGAACGCTTTATTTTTCATCAAAACTCTCCAGCTGTGTACATGTACAGGCAGCAGGAAAGGTCCAGTATACAGGGTTTGTGGTGTATCTGAGGAGGAAGGCCTATCACATCTGCATGTACTTAGCCTGTAGTCCCTCCCTGCTTCTTGTCTTCCATGTACTTGGACCCTACTTCTGCAGCCCAGGATCTACTGTTCAGACCAGGGCAAGTTTCTACTGCTTCAACTCAGAGGACAGGGAGCCTACCTCTCTGCAGGACTATCCCCATCGTAGCCTGTGGTCTATTGCCTGCTGCCTAGCTCTCTGCTAGCAATCATATCCTCTACTACAGCTACTTTGGCTACCCCAGTGAATCCCAAGAACTAAATGTTGAGGGAGGTGGAGTAGGCTTTCCAGCCTTAAACTGTGTATGCATAGATGGTGGCCAGAGGGCTTTCTTGAGAGCTCGGCTGCCACCATATTCTAAGAACCTGATTGAGCATTATGGGGCTCAGCCTGGATATCCAAGGGGAACTTCCTGGGAGCTGAATGTGTTGTATGCTTCTGGAGCATGGCTGCATTTGCGATGGCTTGAGATGCAGAGACCTGGACTCCCAATGGTTATGGAGAAGATGGGTTCTCTCTCCATGCCTTCCCACCTCCTTGTCAGGTCCAGGAAGCCTACCTACCCTTACCTACTGGTTGGTAGTTGGCCATGGGGCTCAGAGATCCCTCTGATCTCAGCTACTGGCCCAGTTCTAAAGTGATCTGTACCCAGGACAGATTCAAGCTTGGCATGTGGATCCTACCAGGCCATAAGATGCAAAAGTTCTTCCAAACAGCTGTCGTCCCATTCTGTTATTCCAGATGATTGTATGTTTGAACTTATTGGCCACTGGAGAAGATAGCAACTCCTTTTTCACACTAAGCCCCAGGCATGGCTGGCAGAACACCAAATAGGTGGAAGAAGGGCACTGAGGTGGTTTTATTTTGTTTTTTGGTCTTTTTGAGACAGGGTCTATCTGTAGCCCCAGCTGTCCTGGAACTCACTATGTAGACCAGGCTGGCCTTGGACTCACAGAGATCCCTTGCCTCTGCCTCCCAAGTGCTGGGATTATTATTTTATGTGTATGCGTGTATTGCCTGCATGTATGTAAGTGCACCTGTGTTATGCAATGCCCTAGGAAGACAGAAGAGGCCATTGGCCCCTGGAACTGGAGTTACCGACAGTTGTTAGCTGCCATGTGGGTGCTGGGATTCAAACCTGGGTCTTATGTAAGAATGGCCAGCGTTCTTAACCGTTGAGCCATCTCTCTAGCCCTGGGGTTGTTTCTTAGCTTCTGTTGATGGTTTAAATTCATGAGAATCTGAGTGACAAGCCCCCACAAAAGAAGCCTGCTATTGTTGGGCACACACGGTGGTATTTGACTTTAATCCCAGCACTGTAGAGGCAGAGGCAGGTAGATCTCTCTGAATTTGAGGCTAGCCTGGTCTACATACTGAGTTCCAGGCCAGTCAGGGCTATACAGTGAAACTGTCTCAAAAAACAAAAAGCCTCCTCTCCTGAGGAGGTAGAGTGGGTAGGAGAGAGACATCTGCTAGCCAGAGTCTCACTTCCAAATAAGTTCTTGGCATATGCTCTGTCTCATCTTTGTTCATCTTGACCTTAGGCCAGCACCATCTATCTCAGGTGGTAAAGCTGAAAGCCTGCATTCCCACCTTGATGCCATAGAGTACCTTTTCCACAGTCATCTTGGAGGAGCTTCCCTTTGCTGGGCATAATCTTTGAATCTGGTGCACATCTCAGGTTAGCATAGGCTCTGGGACATCTACAGGAAACAACCTTTAAATTTTATTATTTACTTTTCTCTGTGTGTAGGATGTATGTGAGAAAGAGAAAGGGTGCACACATGCCATGGTGCATGTGTGAAGGTCAGAGGACAACTCTGTGGAGTCAGTTCTCTCCTTCCATCTATCTGCACGTGGGTTTTAGTGGTTGAACTAAGGTTGACAGGTTTGTTCAAGTGCCTTTACCCACTGAACCTTCTTGCCAGCCCTAGGAAACAATTTTGTGGGACCCTCCTCTGAGCTACATAGGACCCTGTCTCTTGCCTCCTCTGGCCCCAACTCTTTTATCTAGTCAGTATCTAGGATGCTAAGCAGTGGCAGATGCCCTCCAGGACTTACATGTACACCAAGGGTGGCCACTCTGCTTCTCAGCATGTCCCTGAGTACCAGAAAGGGCTGTGCTGTGCTTACTCCTGGTTGAGATCTGTGTGGAGCCATCAGGAAGGCTGGTGAGGTAGGACTGAGAATATTCTGGCTGCTGTGAGGAGACAGGGAAGGCAGCTACAGGTTCTGGCACCCATGTACTTGAGGCCATTTTCACACTGCAGAGGGTGGTGGTGCTAAAATCTGTACTCTGTTTTTGATGAAGGTCTTGGCTCTCCAGGTTTCAGAGCTCCTGGAATGAAGCTGTTTATGAGAAGGTTCAATGGAGGTACAGAGTCTGGAGTCCAGGCTTCTAGTAAGTGGGATGTTCAAGATTGGCTGTGCAGTCAAGGACCACCCAGCATGGTTGTTACCACCTTGGAGATGGTCCACTTCCATGGTAACAGTAATAAAGGCTGTCAGACTCCCAGAAATGCAGCCTTGATGATAGACTTCTGCTGGAGAAGAAGAAAGAACAGTACAGGAAACCTGAAGCTCAGGTGCAATAGCTGTGTCCGTCCTGCTTTTTTTCTTAGATTGAATGTGTGCTTTCAGTATTCCTTTTTTTTTTTTTCTTTTTTTCTTTTTAAAGGGAGCTGGAGAGATGGTTAAGTGGTTAAGAGCAATAGCTGCTCTTGGAGAGGACCCAAGTTCAGTTCCTAGTACCCATTTTTGGTGAATCACAACCACTTGTAACTCCAGTTCCAGGGAGGTCCAAAACTTACGGCCTCTCTGGTCACCTGTACTCATACGCACATACCCATATGCAGATATACATACTTAAACATAATTAAAAACAAAATCTTGGCTTGTGAGATGGCTTAGTGGTTAAGAGCACTGGCTGTCTTGCAGAAGACTTGGGTTTGGTTCCTAGCACTCACATGGTGACTAACAGCTTTCTCTAAATCCAGTTCCAGGGGATCCAATGCCCTGTTTGGCTTGCATGGGCACTAAGTGCATGTGGTACATGAAGGCAAAACACTCATACACATAAAATAATTTTATTTTTAGAGAGCTAGCTGGGTATGGTGGGGCATGGCTTTAATCCCAGCACTCTGGAGGCAGTGGCAGGTGGAGCTCTGAAATTGAGGGAACTACAGAGAGACCCTGTCACACACAAAAAAATTTAATTAAAAAAAAAAAAAGGCCTGGAGAGACTCAGCTTAGGTTAAGAGTACTTGCTGTTCTTCCAGAAGACCTGGGTTTGGTCCTCAGCACTCACATGGCAGCTAGCAACTTTCTGCAACTCCAGTTTCAAGGGATCCATTGCCCTCTTCTGGCCTCTGAAGGCGCAGCACACACATGGCTCACTTACATACATGTAGGCAAAACACTCATACACACAAAACAATAAAATGATAATAATAAAAAAAAAAACAGAAAAAGTCAATGTTACATCCTCCCCTGGAGGTGAGTGTGGTGAGGTAGGGGTTCCCAGCTCTCAAATGGGAGCAGGACCTGGTTGAGGCAAGGTGCTGTGGGAGGTTGAAGGGCAGCAGTCTCCTGGACAGGAGTAGGGCAGGAACAATCACTGACTGCTATCACAAATGTCAGTGAACTTATTGCAACCAAACATGGCCTCCTTGCAACTACAGAGCTTTCTAAAGAAGTCTCCTTGTCTCACTACGTCTAGGGAAAGGTACAGAACAGCAGGCAGCAGTGGCCTGACTAAGCTGCAGCAGGAAAGAACTAGAGTCCATGGCTCTGGAACTGTACCCAGTGGAGGGTGACGCCATGAGCTGCTCTGTGCTCCCCATGATCTGGGCTTTCACTTCCCACTGCCTCTTCAGTTCCTAGGCCAGCCACACCTGCCACAAAGGTTCCTGGGCTCTTCATAGACACTCCTGTGGAGCCCATCCATAACACCTCCTGGAGCATACAAGGACACAAATAGTGGTAGCCATGGGCTTGAACAGGGCAGAGCAGCTGAGTGCCTGTACCGAGGCCATTCATACCACATATAACCCTGGAACTGTGTGCCTCAGTGGGGACTCTCAGTTGGGTGTAGTTCCAGCTGGTCAGGCATCACCATAAGCAGGTAACTTTAAATATAACTCTCAAGGGGGAATATGAGCTACTTAGCTATGGAGAAGCTTTGGGTTCAGTACTAAGTTGCTACTGTCTGGGGTCATCATCACAATTCTGTCACGTCTCTGACCCACTGCACCCTGAAGAGGAACCCCATAAAAGCTGGGAGTCCTGCTTTGGTAGACGCAGCAGCCTGGGACCCCACTCTGAAAGGCCGGACTGAGCAGCTTTTCCTTTTCCTGCTGGGCCAGCACATATGCTGGCAAGGGTCAAGGCAAGGCCTACAAATGAGCTGTGGTATCTGTGAACAAGAACCAGAGGGTCCTTTTGGAAGATGGAGAAGGGAGTTTGAAGGGTCCATTTGTCAATTGAAAATGCTAGAGGCGAGGCTGGAGAGATGGGTCAGTGGTTAAGAACACTGGTTGTTTTTACAGAAGACCCGGTTTGAATCCCAGCACCCACAAGACAGCTAACAGCTAACAACTGTAACTCCAGTTCGAGGGGATCCAAGAACCTCTTCTATCCTCCGCGGGCATTGCACAACACAGGTGCACTTACGTGTAGGCAATACACGCATACACATAAAAATTAAAAAAAATTTTTTTAAAGAGTATCCAGTGCTCTTAACTGCCAAGCCATTTCTCCAGCCCCATAAACCTTTTACTTTAAACTTTTTACTTAAAATTATTTTCTGTCCAGTGGGATAGTCTGCCCATATCATTCTATGAGCTCAACCAGTCTCATCAAAAAGTCTGGGACCAAGACGCTGCCTTTAGACATTGTGGGTTCCCTGGTGATACCTCTGTTTGTTCGGGGTCTGTAAAATTCCCTAAATTGACCACTCGGACACTGAGTCTCAGTAAAAAGGAATGCTTTATTGGAGCCAACCGGTTGGGGACACAGTCTCGGGAGCTGTACTGCGACCCTGAACAGTGAAAACGCAGGGCTTTTAAGCAGAAAAACCACAAAAACCACAAAGCAGGGGATGTCCAGAGAAACTATACACAGAATAACCAGGAAAGGATTGGAACAATCTAGGGCTGATTTCCAGAGACTTTACCTGTACAGCCATTGGCTGTCTTACCTGGGGCAGAACGGTCTTTCTCTTCTGCCCCAGATTATTCCCGTAGAGACCATGCACAGATGTATCAAGTATACTGTCATTGGCTAGCTCACCTGGGGCAGAACGTTCTATCTCTTCTGTCCCAGACCATTTCCATAGAAATCATAAACAGATACCAGGAAAGGGTTTGAACAATGAAGGGGCTTTCCAGAGTCAGTTGGAGGGCAGCTTTTTCTCAGAGGACAGGGAGGGCAGGGTCTGAGGGGTACTCTCATGTTCATGTTAGCCTCCTCCTAGATCCAAAGCACACAAGTGTCCTTCACAGATTCCCAGGGAGGGCTCAGTGGTTAGCGACCTTCGAAGCCTAGACCCCCCACCCCCTGCTTGAATAGCTCCTCCCGTAGGGCACCCTGCAGACTTGTACTGCAAAGCATAACTAAATCAGTTGCCATAGCAGTTTGCCAAGATACCCAGGAGGAAGAGGCAGGGGGGGCAGGTTCTTCAGATCCCTATTGAGCAACAGTTGCAGAAGTCTAGCCAGGAAATGGTTGTCAGCTAATAAACACCTACTGTGTGGTATCAGTCTCTGTCGAGGCTTCCAGATCCATACAAGTCAGGTTACGGGCGCCAGACACGGAGTCACTCGGGGCAGCCTCAGATCTGCGTGACTCCGGTTTACCGTCGCCATCGGGACAGCCCACTCCACGCTGCACGGCGGGGAAACAGGGGGTCTCAGCGGGGGCCTGTGGTCGGTCTGGGGACGCAAGGTCCGCCCCTTCATTTATCTGTGGGTTTGCAGTCCCGAGTCCGGCCCGGGTCCTCGGCTGCCACGGCCTGGAAGCACCCCGAGTCAACACAGGTCCCGATCGGACTCCCGCCCCAGTCATTTTGTCCCGGCTTGGGCCCCGTAACCACGAGCCCCGCCCTCTCCCGCCTCCCAGCTGGCTGGAGCAATCCCGCTGTCCACGCAGATGGCGTCATAGCCTCAGCAGCCAATCGCATGGCTGAGATAATTTTGGCCCTTCTGAGCATCGGTGGCCGGGGAGGAAGAGGTGTGTGTTGCGCCTGCGCCGTGACTCTCGCACTTGGCGCGTGGTGGCTGCTAGGAGCCGCGCAAGTCACGCTCGATTCCTTGTTCTGCGCGCAGGAGTCTCTCGGACCATGTCGTGGCTGTTCGGCATTAACAAGGGCCCTAAGGGCGAAGGCACCGGGGTGCCACCGCCCTTGCCGCCGGCGCAGCCCGGGGCCGAGGGTGGCGGCGACCCCGGCGCGAGAGACCGGCCGATGCCCAAGGACAAATGGACCAACTTCGACCCCACTGGCCTGGAGCGTGCGGCCAAGGCAGCGCGCGAGCTGGAGCACTCGCGTGAGTGCGGCGGGCAGGGCGCGGGGGCCGTGGGCCCAGGGAAGCGACGCTCCCGGAGGCATCGGCTGCCCTTGCGAGCAGCTGACTACCGAGCGGCTGAGCTGTCCCGGGAGTCCCTTGGCAAGAGCCATCCTGCGTGTTGGGACACCCAGGTCCTGTCACTCCCTTGCACCTTCCGGCTGTCAGTGTGACAGGGCTAGCCACTTTGGAGAGGCTTTCAGAGGCGCAGGTAGCCTGTACTACAGCTGAGCGCTCTTCCTGTTCCACGTGGGGTAGGCCAAAGCTTGGCCAGAGTAGGAGATCGTAGTGTGGTCGTTGGTAGTAATTTTCCACTTAACAAGGGAAGCACATTTAAGAGTCGTTTGGTGTTAGCGAAAAGATAGCAGATTGTGTTTCTTATTGGAAAACAGCGTTACACTCCGAAGCGTTGGAGGAGGACGTCTGTAAAGACACAGACTGAGGACTTCTCTGAGCCACGTGTCAGCACTCACTGGACCTTCTCTAAGGCCAGGTCTCCACCTCTCCCAAAACTGTCTTTTCTGCTTTTTTAGGGACAGGGGAAGTTGAGGCAGGGTCTCCCTGTAGTCGTAGCTATCCTGGAACTCGCTGTGTAGACCAGCTGGCCTTGATCTCACAGAGATCCACCTGCTTCTACGTCCTGAGTGCTGGGATCAAAGGCGTGTGCCACTCCGGGTTCTCCTTTCAGCTTTGATGTTGACAGTTTGTATCAAAATGTAGCTTGTGTCTTTTAAGAGCCTGGAATGTAGAAGGTGTTGAATAAATAAGGACTAGACGAATGAATGCTGTGGATCTCAATTTTGTGTTTATGTATGAGCTCTTTTCCACAAGAAGATCTTAGAGGGAAGCCACAATTTAAACAATCGAGCCTCCTGATTAAGAAGAGAGAGGGTCTAGATCTTGGTGACTCAATCCTCTGCCCTTCTTGTGGGCTACAAAACTGTCTATGCAGTGGTCTCTGTGTGCTCAGATCCCCACAGTTGAAGCCTTCAAACTTGGGCCTAGGACAAAGTGCCTTTGAGACCCAAAGTGGCTAGTTAATTCTGTAGGTAATCTTTTATGTTTGCTAGATAGTCTCAGTAACAAGAAACAGTGGCTGTCCTTCAGGCCATTTCAGATGATTGCAGGCTTGATCTATGACCTTAATATTTTGTTATAGGGTTGTGTAGGGGACACTTCTGGGCAGCTCCTGGTTGGGGAAGGGGGAGGGTTCACTCAGAATTTCAGAGTTGAATCTTGGCAATTAGTTCCATCTCCCCTGGCTGTTATATAGCCTGGAGGAACAGCCTCAGCCTTCTACCCCAGCGTGACTACTGTTTCCTCTAAATTACTCCCCAGCCTCCTGCAGTGGCAGTCTTGGAGCTCTTGACCAGGGCATGCTCCATCAGGGTCCAGTTCCTTGACTTGTACTCAATCTTGTCAGAGCCCTGTTTTCTGGACCAGCAATATCCCCTGTGGGTGCCGTGCCACATGCCCCGATCTGTGACCTTTTCTTGTGGAGTCTGTATTGAATTTCTTTCCTGGTTTCAGTGTTGCCTGGATTTGGCATGGTTTTCCTATTCGAAACCTATAAACCCATCTTCCCAGGATACCTCATACCTGATAGCCCTCCTGTAAGCATATCCTCTGAATGCTCTCAGGTACCTAGACTCTAGTACCCTGAACTTTTTTTCAGCTGGCCTGGCACTCACTATGTAGACCAGGCTGGCCTCCAACTCACAGAGATCCACCTGCCTCTGCCTCTCAAGTGCTGGGATTAGAGAGCGCCACTAGGCCCGCTCCCCTGAACCTTTTATCAGGGTCTTTCAGAAGCTGCCAATGAGCCTGTTGCATTGACCCTGCTGCTGCCTTCCCTGAGCCAGTGAAAGCCATCCTCAGTGGCCCTCCTCCTGATGAGAACACCTACTCTGGGCCCAGCTCAATGCTGCCCTTATTCCCAGGGTCTTCCCAGATCCTGCCCTTGGTGCTTCTCTGGGATGTAGTTTCTAGTACAGGGTGGTCTCAAGGTGGGCACTAAACCTGTGCTGAAATTTGCCTCTGTCTTATTTCACAAGAGAACTATAGTTCTTTCAGGGAAGAGAGGTTAGCTGAGCTTGCCAGAGGTCACACATCAAGAATAAACAGAGCAGCCAGGATTTGGTCCCAGCTTTGTTGGACTGTAAAACCCACATTCCTGCCTATTGTGCTAAGAAAAAGCCCCAAGGTGCTGTTGCTCTCTCCAGCTCTTCTGTCAGAGAGACATTGTCAAAGGCTGCCATGGTCTTTTCAGCACTTAGCTTCAAAGCTTACTAGTTGAATTGGGGCAGGGCTGTGCCTTGCCGCTGCCTTTCCTTGGGAGTGGGTCCTTTTATCTTCGGTCCTGGGCACTGATCTCCAGGATGGCTTGGAAGCTCCTTCCCAAGCTCTGACACTTCGTTAGTTGAGTTTATGTCAAACTGCATGCTCTATAAACTGATCCCAGATGGCCAAGGCATCTACCACAGTGGTCATCTAAATGAATCGGGTATACCTACCATGGTACCTCCTGTTTTGGGCAATTTTACCTCAAGAAAAGACTCATATCATTAGCAAATGTCAAGCTCTAGTTAAGGATATGCTTGCTGCAGTTGGAGGTACCATACTGAGTTGCGGCAGACCTTGAAGGCTTCAAAAAGAAGACAAGTCATGGGAATAGAGTGTAGTGGGCAAAGGAGTAAGCCAGGAACATTGAAACATTAGGTAGAGGTTCCTGGGTGATAACTTCCTACCTTTTTGTGTAGTAGAAGATTTTCACAATAAGATATTGTTTGTTGTGGGGTTTTTTTTGTTTGTTTGTTTTTTTGGTCTTTTTGAGACTGGGTCTCCCTGTAGCTCCAGCTGCCTGGAACTTACTCTGTAGACCAGGCTGGCCTCGAACTCACAGAGATTCTCCTGCCTCTCAGTGCTGGGATTAAAGGGTGCGCCACCACGCCCGGCTGTTTGTTTGATTTTTGAGGCAGGGTCTTCCTGTAGCCCCAGCTGGCCTGAAACTCATTATGTAAACCTGCCTCTGCCTCCCAAGTGCAGGATTAAAGGTGTATACCATCATGCCTGGCTTCCACAATAAGATACTGTCATGGAACACTGTCATAGAAAATTTGGAGACCTGAGACTAGAGAGATGGCTCAGCATATTGCTATTTCAGGGGATCTGAGTTTGATTCCTAGCACCCATATCAGGTGGAAATGGTCAACAACGATCTGTAATTCCAGCTCCAGGGGATCTGACACCTGGCTTTTGTGGGTTCCAGTACTAATGTACACACACACACACAATTTTTTTTAAAAATGGGGGGCGCCTCATGTTTAGTCTTTGGGTAGGAGAGTATAAGTGAAGTTTTTTTTTTTTTTTTTTTTCAGAAAACATCTGAGTATTGATAGATAATAGAGCCATCTTGTACACAAACACATATAGAAGATATTTATAACCTAGGTTCATTAGCCTGTATATGATTAATTCTCTTTTTGTTTGTTTACTTGAGACAGGGTCTCTGTAGTCCCAGCTGGCCTGGAACTCCCTATGTAGATTAGGCTGGCCTCAATCTCACAGAGATCCACCACCTGCCTCTGCCTCCCAAGTGCTGGGATTAAAGTCATGCAAGCACTCCTGGCTCCGGCTTCATTTTTTTAAGATTTATTTTTATTTTATGTGTGTGTTTGCTTGCATGTGCATTGTATGCCTAGTGCTGGAGGAGCCAGAAGAGGATGTTGGATCCCTTGAAACTGGAGTTAGAGATGGTTGTGAGCTGCTATGTGGGTTCTGGGAACCAAACCTGGGACCTCTGCAAGAGGAGCAAGTGCTCTTTATGTGTATGAATGTTTTGCCTGTATGTAAGTGCACCATGTGTGTACAGTGCTTAGAAAGACCAGAAGAGTGCATCAGATCCCTTGGAACTAGAGTTAACAGCTGATTGTTAGTCCCCACGTGAGTGCTGGGACTGGAACCTGGCCCTTGGGTGAATGCTATTGCTCTTAATTTCTGAGACATTTTTCTAGCCCGACCTGCCTACATGTTTTTTATTGCAAATCAATGGTTACAGGTACAGATATCAAAGTTCTTTCATTTGTTTCACCTGTCACATCAATGTCTGTGTCTGTGCCCCCCCCTCCCCAGACAGAGCTCATGCTCACTATGTAGCTAGGAATGACCTTGAACTTCAGATCCTCCTGTCTTCACCTCTAGCATTACTGGGATTACAGGCATGCACCACCACCACCACCACCACCACCACCAGTTTTATGTGTCATGAGAATTGAACCTAGAGTTTTTTGCATGCTAGGCAAGCATTCTACCAACTGAGATGCATCCCCAGGCCCACCCAGCATTTGGTTGGGATATGGGTCAGTAGCTTTGGAGGGAGGGGTCATTGTACAAGGTCTGGTCAGGTTCAAGGAGTAGGCTGGAAAGTGGTTCAAGATTGAGATGGTGGTGTGGTTTCTCAGAAAAGCCCTTGGCATGACTAATGGTCCCCTTTGTGGTCACAGGTGCGTTTGTTATCAGTCTTAACATTCAATATCTTAATACCCTCATTCCTGCTTCCCTACACCCTGCAGGCCATGCCAAGGAGGCACTGAGTCTTGCACAAATGCAGGAGCAGACATTGCAACTGGAGCAACAGTCCAAGCTCAAGGTGAACTCTGGACTAGTGCCATGGGGAGGTGGGGTGTGACGGGATGTGTACACAGATGACAGGTCTGTGGCCATGTCTTCCATTCTGGGAATGAATTGGGGGAGGTAAAGATGGGATGCTAAGTATTGGGCCATGACCCTACACAGATGCACCTGAGAGCAGGCATAGGTGAGGAATGTCTGGACTTCTGAGGATAAGAGATCTTTCTTGAAACTTGTTTTGTATTGTGTTGTATTTTGTTTTGAGACAGGATCTCGCTATGTAGCCCAGGCTGGCCTCAAACTCACAGCAAACCTCCTGCCTCAGCCTCTTAAATACTAGGATTACAGGTATGCACCACCATGCCTGACCTGGAAATTTTATTCTTTGCACTTGGCAGTATCTTTTTTAAAATATTTTGTTTGTTTGTTTATTTATTTTTGTCTCTTTGAGACAGGGTCTCCCTGTAGCCCCAGCTGTCCTGGAACTCACTATGTAGACCAGGCTGGCCTTGAACTCACAAAGATCCACCTGCCTCTGCCTCCCAAGTGCTGGGATTAAAGAGGCCAGAATGAAGGCTGAGGGCTAGCAGTTGTCTGACTGTCTAATTCCATTAGGCATACCTAATGGAGATGAAAGGGGCAGTGGCCCAGAGTATGAGTAATCTTTTTAAAAAATATATTATATTTTTATTTTATGTGTATGAGTGTATTGCCTGCATACATGGAAGTGTACCAGTATCATGTAGTACCTGCAGAGGTCAAAAGAGGGCATTGGATTCCCCTGGAACTGGAGTTATGGACGATTGTTAGCCACCATGTGGGTGCTGGGAATTGAACCTGGGTCCTCTGCAAAAGCAGTCAGTGCTCTTAACCACTGAGCCATCTCTCCAGCCCTTGGCAGGATCTTTAATGCTACAGTTGCAGTGAGCATATAGCATGCTCGGCTCTCAGTCCTTGTCTGTCATATAGCACAGTTTTATTGTGAATTCAGGGTAAAGAAGTAACACTTCTGTCTAGGTATGGCTTTGTCCATCTGCCTAGGGCTGTGAGCCCGTGTAAGGGTGTATGAATGTCTGTCCAGACTGTTTTCAAAAATGCCTTCTGCTGTACTCCAGCCTGCTGCACAGACCAGCTAGGCATATGTAATTCTGCTATTCTGTAGCCTACAGCCCCAAAGAGTGGGCTGCTGCCAAGGATGCAAGTCTCACACTAGCATCTTGAGTGGTATGTTCTGCAGGAGTATGAGGCCACTGTGGAGCAGCTGAAAAATGAACAGATACGCGTGCAGGCTGAAGAGAGAAGGAAGACCCTGAGCGAGGAGACCCGGCAGCACCAGGCTGTAAGTGTGCAGGAAATCACTTTTGACAGGAGGCCCAGGGTCATGGGGAGCAATGAAGGACCATTCTGGATCTTTAAGTTACTGACCAGCTGAGGATTACTGGGTGTCATCTGTTTCACTGAGACTTGGAACACCATTGTAAAAAATCAACAATAAAACCCAAAGCCTATAGACCCTGGTTTGGAGCCCTGCATGTTTGTGAAAAGTGGGAATAGACCATGTTCTCTGACCTTTTCAGTGTCTTCTCCCATCAAAGTGTGTCTTTACTGCTGTCTTCTCCCTAGAGGGCTCAGTACCAGGATAAGCTAGCCCGACAGCGCTATGAGGACCAGTTGAAACAGCAGGTGAGCAACTACACCTTCTTTGACAGACATGCACTGTCCTTGAATAGCACAGGAGACTGTGTCCTAAGGTCATGGGCAGGAAGGCAGGTGTTGCTGGTCCCAGGTAAATTTTACTCAAATGTTGGTAAGCCCTGGAATGTTGCATATTCACGGGCCTGTGTGCACATGGACGTACCCAGGCTAGCAGACACAGAGGCACCCAAATACAGAGCCATGTGTGTACACAAACATGTACAAGTACATGTGTAGTACCATGTACATATCTTTTGGTGAGACTTCCACAGCAGAGGTGGGTTTTCCAACCTCTCTGAGGGCTTTTGCCAGATAAAATCTTTACCTAGGGTACCTGCCTGACCTGAAAGATCAGTGCTTGGCTGAGGATCCCTGGACACTCCAAGGCCTGGGTGGCCCTCCTTTGGTCAGTGCTGACTCCCCACTGTTGTGGTTTGTCAGTATCAGGCTTAAGTTCATGGGGGTTTTGAAATATTTTGTCTATTGGGGCATTATAGCTGTTAAACTCAGGAAGCAAAAGAGCAGAATTCTCTTATTCTTATGTGTGTATTCACATAAGTTCATGCATGCCAAAGCCTCTGAAGGCCAGAGAGGGCATTAGACCTGGGATCGGAGTTACAGGCTGTTGTGAGTTGCCATGTGGATGCTTGGAGTTGAACCCAGGTTCTTTAGAAGAGTAGCAACTGCTCTTACCCCCTGAGCTATCTCTCCAACTCCCAACAAGCAGAATTCTGTGTGAACCATAGAGCAGAGTAGCAGTCCTTGGGGGTCTTGGGCAGCCACACTAGTGAAGCTTCTGCCTTAGCAGATGGGGCAGCTCTGAAGCCTCAGGTATGCACGTTCTGGGCCAACATGAACTGTGATAGGTAAAGTAGGTGATGGATGAATCTGGTTGATCAGGAGAAAGCACCAGGACACAAATAAAACTCCAGTGGAGTAGAGTTTGTTAACAAAGGAACACATGGGACAGATTCCCTTCCCGGCAGGGAAAATATCTGCACGGGTCGTGAGCTGGGGTCGTTTATAGGGGGAGACTTCTGGGGGGTGCAGAAGGCAGGAAGATATATTTTTTTTAAAGTTGGGGGGGGAGGGACGGGAGAGCAGGACTGTTAAAACCTGCCCCCTTTAGAGATCAAAAGGGAAGCCTGCTGTGTTGGGCTTGTGAGGTCCATGAGGCCCTGTTGGTGAGGGGGTGGGGCTATCTGAACCTTAACAAACTGTACCTCAGATATACCTGAGAAAGCTGGACTCCTCAGGTAGACAGCAGCATTCCTGGCTCAGAACAGCTGCATCCTGTTGGCTTGGTGGTGTTTTTCTGATTTTCAAAAGCTTTTACCTTTCCTGTGACTTCTCAGCAACTTCTGAATGAAGAGAATTTACGGAAACAAGAGGAGTCTGTGCAGAAGCAGGAGGCCATGCGGCGAGGTAGGCGGTCCCGTGAAGATGGGTGTCTTTGTTGGGCATCTTAGTCCTTAAATACCTACACAGGGACGAGATAGTTTCAGCAGTTAAGAGCACTCACTGGCTGCTCTTGCAGAGGACCCAGGTTTGGTTTCCAGCATTCACATGGCAGCTAACAACCATCAGTAACTTCAGGAGATCCAACACTCTCTTCTGGTCTCTCTGGGCATTATATGCACAGGTGCACTTAAAGACATGCAGGCAAAATACTCATATGAGATAAATAAAACAATAAACAATTAAAAAAAGACAAATGCATACACAGTGACTCACTGAGACCTCAACTAAGGACTGTATTTGTAGCACATGCTTTTGACACTAGAGGCAGCTGGGTGTCTTGATTTTTAGGAGCTCACTCTTGGCAGAGCTTTCACTGTAGGTTGGCCCCTATACAGAAAGTTTGAGGACAGGTTAATTTTGATAGGAATATTGCTATGTTTATATCCTGTGGTAGAGCTTCAGTTATAAGTGGGCTAAGTGGGTTTCTATTTTGATTCTCCACACTTTATTTTGTTTCTTTAAACATGTCATCAGAAAGCTGGGTGTTGTGGTGCACGCCTTTAATCCCAGCTCTCAGGAGGCAGAGGCAGGCAGATCTCTGTGAGTTCGAAGTCAGCCTGGTCTACATAGTGAGTTCCAGGCCAGCTGGGGCTACTGGGAGACCCTGTCTCAAAAAGACCAAAAAATAAATAAATAAACATGTCATAAACATGTCACCCTGCCTGGGCTACAGTAGATGGTTTCATGACTCCTCGGTTTGCCAGAAAGGCTTGCCTTGGAGTGTGGTTTGTTCATTATGACACTGTGTTGTCCCTGGTCCATGCAATGTCTAGGTCTTTGTGTGCATGTCAGCAGTGTGGGTAGAGGCAGGCCCAGTATAGGCTGAGTGCCACTCTTTCTACCTTTTCCTCTTCCTGGGCAGCTACCGTGGAACGAGAGATGGAGCTACGGCATAAGAATGAGATGCTGCGAGTAGAAGCCGAGGCTCGAGCCCGGGCCAAGGCTGATCGAGAGAATGCAGACATTATCCGAGAACAGATCCGCCTCAAGGCTGCTGAGCACCGCCAGACCATCTTGGAGTCCATCAGGTGAGGATGCAGCCAAAGCCCAGTGCCTGCTGTGCATCTGTCCTGTGGTTCCCAGATCAAGCTGGTGAGTCACTGGTCATTGAAGGTTCTAGAGCCCTCATGGTACTGCAGGTCTGGGTCAGCTCTTTGACCCCCAGCTTGGAAGGCCTTTCTGTGGGCTGACCTTTAAGGCTGACCTCTGGGAATTAGAAGGCTTCATTAGGTTCTTGCATTTGATGTTCTCCACGTCTCTATGTCCCTATGTCCCTCCCAGTTATGTGACTGTTTTCCCCCTGCAGGACAGCTGGCACTCTGTTTGGTGAAGGGTTCCGTGCCTTTGTGACAGACTGGGACAAAGTGACAGCCACAGTATGTACTACTACATTCTCTAGGGGTGGACCTGGTGGACAGCTCTGGGCACAGTCTGGGGCTTCCCTATAAAGCTCAGCCCTATTCCCTGCTGGGCTGGGGAGATACCTGGTATTCTGCAGGTGCACTCAGCACTGGTGTGCCAGCACAGAACAGGCACACTTTGCTTTAGCACCTGGTCTTTAAGAATAATAGGCCGGGCGTGGTGGCACATGCCTTTAGTCCCAGCACTTGGAAGGCAGAGGCCAGCCTTGTCTATATAGTGAGTTCCAGGATAGCTAGAGCCACAGGAAGATTCTGTCTCAAAAAAGACAAAAGAACAAAAGTAAGACATGGTGGAGTATATGAGCTTAGGGCATTTAATCTTTTCTTAGTCCATTTTATGTTGTTCTAACAAGGTACCCAAGGCTGACTAACCTAATAAAGCAAAGAGGTTTATCTAGCTCACAGTTCTGGTGCCGGAAAGTCTGAGTAGCAGACAAGTGACCTCTATTAGACCCTACAATGGAAGGTTCTGTAATCTCTACAGCACTGCATGAGACCAACCCTCAGCATGTGAATCTTTGAGGGACAAATTGCACCCAGTCATGGCAGTAACAACTTGCCTTAAAGCTTGAGACTTCTAGTCTACTGACTAGGCAAAGACTTGGGAAGGGGCTAGAGCTCACTTTCCAGTGTCATTAGGAGAGGGTGGTCATAACTGTTTTACCCAGCGTTTTTAGCAAAGTGGACCCAGACAACTCCAGGAGACAGGAGATGAGCTGTGATACAGAGCTTTGAAGGCCTAAGGCTTTTTTAAGGTGTATCTGAGGATGTCATGCTAGGTGGCAGAGGGTGACCCACTGAGAGGAATGCTGAAGGCATCTTATTATTTAGGGTGCTAGGAAAGGAACCTCAGGTCTTGTATATGCCAGGCAAGTGCTTACCCAGTGAACCATAGCCTGGCCCAGAAGATGTTCCTTCTTACCTTGTAGAGCTGCTTGATGTACTAATACATTGACTTCTAAAGGAAATTCATGGTTTGGGGTTAGCCTTATTTTCCAGGAGTGAAGATTAACTTTTTCAGTGGTAAGAAAGCAGTGGAAGGTGTGACCCTCGTGGGCATCTAGCCCTGTAGAGCCATATTCAGTCCTATAGCCTCTCCTTTTGAAGATTCATATTGTAAGGCACAGAGCAAAATGCTCTGACAGAGGATGTTTAGTGATAAGCTTTTTTTTTTTTTTTTTTTTTTTTTTTTTTTTTGCTACAGTTCTCATTCCTGATTTGGTATAGAACGCTGAGCTTCCTCTAAAAACGGATCCATGTTAAAAAGACTCCATGTGCAGATGCATATTTTTTCACAGTCTCTAAAAGGCAATGACATGCAGAAATCTCTGGTGTGGTGGAAACTTGTAATTTGGGACTCGTGACTGGCATTTCCTTTAGGGTACAAGTGGCTCCTGTGACTTAAGATAGATGCCACTTTCTGCCTGAGACAGGATTTCTCTGTAGTGCCAGCTGGCCTGGAACTGTCTATGTAGACCAGGCTGGTCTTGAACTCACAGAGATTTGCTTACCTCTGCTTTCCAAGTGCTGGGACCAAAGGCATGTGCCACCACGCCTGGCCTGTGATAAGCTTTTAACCTCACCTGTAGTATGCAAGTGAGTACTGGCTAGCTGTGGTGTGGGTCTGGAGACTCAGCCAGGGTCCGATATGGCTGCCATGGGACTTCAGATGTCCCTGCGGCACAGGTGAGCTGTGTGGCAGAGGTGACAGACTGTCGTGTCTTTCTGTTCCAGGTGGCTGGATTAACCCTGCTGGCTGTTGGGGTCTATTCTGCCAAGAATGCTACTACTGTTGCTGGTCGATACATTGAGGCCCGCCTAGGGAAGCCATCCCTGGTGAGGGAGACCTCACGCATCTCAGTGCTGGAGGCACTGCGACACCCCATCCAGGTATGGCCACAGAGAGGGCCCAGGGCTCTTTGTACTTGCTGGGTTTTCTTCTCACATCACAAGCAAGCGGTACACAGTCTACTGTGTTCCCTCCCTTGTTTTTCAAACACCTACTCTCTCCTGCATGTTGACATGGGTATTTTCTCCTGACTATGTGCTGTGCCATTGGGTCTGTTGGATAAGTGTTATGTGCTGATATGACTGCCCCTGACTGAGCTCTTCACAACCTGGGCTCCAGGGTCTGTCATGCCATAGAAGGTGTGAACATAGCTTGATGTTTAGCCACTTCCCTTAGGCTGAGCTGCTCTCTGACAGGCCTGTTCTTTAAACTGGCTAGAGCAGGTGGTTGAGAAGATAAAAGTCTTTGATAAGAGCTGATAAATCACTCCAGGCCCCACAACAGATGCTGTTTCTCCAGCTGACACCAGGGTCCTGGACTTGGGCTCTATGGGGCAGCACTTCAAAGTAGCTCTCTGTGCCCAGCCAACTGTGATGATGCCCCCTACAGGTCAGCAGGCGGCTTGTCAGCAGGCCCCAGGATGCTCTGGAGGGTGTCATCCTTAGCGTAAGTCATGAGGCATCTATAATTTGGGAGGGCTGTGTGGGCCCCAGGGAAGGGATAGCACAGTTGAACTGTTGTGTCCCCTTGCTCCTTATGCTGGTAGCTTGGGTTCCTAAAATACATGTTGCTATCTACCAAGTCTGCATTTAGCTGCCCCATAGGCCAATCCAAGATCCACAAGGATTAGGCTGCACCAGAGTACTTGTGGGCCCTCTACTCCCCAAGGCTGTCTGCAGGTTGGGAGACCAGGTTTCCCAAACCACATCTTCCTCTGGCAGCCCAGCCTGGAGGCACGGGTGCGAGACATTGCCATAGCAACAAGAAATACCAAGAAGAACAAAAGCCTATACAGGAACATTCTGATGTATGGGCCACCAGGGACTGGCAAGACACTGTTTGCCAAGGTAAGGATACCTGGCTGGTCAGGTGGGACTGGGTGCGGCATGGCCTCTCACCCTGGGGTGAGTCTCCTTCACTGGTCCTCAGGGCATTGCAGTGCATGCAGGGGCCACTTAGCTCTTTTGTTAGGGTCTGTCCACCTGGGGGAGGGTTGGCTGGTAGAGCTGTGGGCTTGTCAGTCAGGGAAGGAACATCTGCTCTGTCTCCCCACCCCTTCCTGCCCAGAAACTCGCACTGCATTCGGGCATGGACTACGCCATCATGACAGGAGGGGACGTGGCCCCCATGGGGCGGGAGGGTGTGACCGCCATGCACAAGGTCTTCGACTGGGCGAGCACCAGCCGACGAGGGTGAGAGCACACCACCCCACCCCACATACATGGGTACCAGGTCCTGGGGACCCACTAGGGTACCCTGCTAGGGCCCTGCTGTCTTTCTCCTGTCTTGTCCGTGAAGCTGTATGGGAATCCACAGGCAGCCTTTAGCTTCTGAAGATACTTGGGGGTGGGTGCTTATGCTAAAGGGTCCATTAAGGAGAAGGTCATGCTAAGGGTGGACTACAGGTCACAGGGCCTCCAGTACAAGGGAGCTGCTATTCAGATTTAATTAACTACCAGGAGTTGAGTGACTGGCTCAGATGGGCAGGGGAATGGACCAAGGCTTCTGGCTCCCTCCTTGAGTATGTTAAACCCTTTGAAAGTCAATAGAGTGTGTCACAGAAACACATGAAGTATGACATGGCTAGCCTCAGTTCTGGTATCACTGCTACCTTGGTTAGGGCCCTTCCTTAGGTCTTTACCATTTTACCTCAGGTCTACTTGCCCCTGGTGCTGACCATGTATAGCTCAACCCTTATCTGACCCAGGCTGGGGGCCTTAAGTGTGACCTGTAGCTAAGAGGAACATTCTGCCCAGCATGTGCCATCAGAACTGCAGCCAAGCTCCCAGTATCGGGGTACTCAAAGCTGTGAGCTGTGGTTTCACTGGGACAGCATAATAAGAGTCCCTAACAGGGCAGAGTCTAGGCTCTCTGGGACAGCTTCTCCCTGTTACTTCTGGGAGCTTCTGGATGTTGGTTTGTAGCATTCAGTAGCCCATTGGCTGACCACCCTCTGGTTCACAGCCTCCTGCTCTTTGTGGATGAAGCAGATGCCTTTCTTAGGAAGCGAGCGACTGTGAGTATTCTGGAACCATATCTGCGTGTAAGAGTTAGAGCTAGGTGCTCTGAACTAATCTAGCAGGAGACCAGCCTTGAGGTCGCCATGTCCTAGAGCAGAAAAGGCCCAGGCCTACGTGCTGGGACAGTGCTGAGACTGCTGCTCAGTTGCTTTCCCTTTTATGTTTATTTGAAAACATGTTGTATCTATGTCCTCATAGATGAACCAGGGCCTTGCACATGTTGGATATGTGCCCCTCACTAACCACACCTGTGCCCTGCAGCAGTTCTGAATCAGGTGGAAACTAAGTTCTGACTGTCAGGTCAGGGCTCATGTTCCTGCACCTGCCTTGCCCTCTCAACTGTGTCTGCTCTGGACACTCCCTCAGTCAGGAGACTGACGCTGGAACTTTCTCTCTGTAGGAAAAGATAAGTGAAGACCTCAGGGCTACCCTGAATGCGTTCCTACACAGGACAGGCCAGCATAGTAGCAAGTAAGTACAGCCCTCCAACCCCCATGTAGAGTGCTTCTGGGTACTGTCACTTTGTCATCATAAGGGAATGAAGATACAGTCAGGTATACCAGTTGCTAAGAGGCAGGGCCAAGAATCCAGTACACAGCTGGGGCCTAGAGAGATACATCTTAGTGGTTAAGAACACTTGCTGAGCTGGGCATAATGAGTTCCAGGCCAGCTGTGGCTACAGGGAGATCCTGTTTCAAAAATACCAAAAAGAAAATCTACTGTTCTGGGCATGGTGGTATGGTGGCTCACGCCTTTAGTCCCAGCACTTGGGAGGCAAAGGCAAGCAGATAAGACCAGCCTGGTCTACATAAGAGTTCTAGGCCAGCTGGGGCTACAGGGAGACCCTGTTTTAAAAAGACCAAAAAAAGGCCGAGCATGGTGGTACATGCCTTTAATCCCAGCACTCGGGAGGCAGAGGCAGGGGGATCTCTGTGAGTTCAAGGCCAGCCTGGTCTACATAGTTCAGGACAGCTGGGGCTACAGGGAGACCCTGTCTCAAAAAGACCAAAAAAAAAAAAAAAAAAAAGCTTGCTGTTCTTCTAGAGGCCTAGGTTTGATTCCTAGCACCCACATGGTGGCTATTGAACACCTGTAACTCCAGTTTCAGGGGATATGACAGACACCTGTGTGGGCATTGCACACATGTGGTACACTTACACACATGTAGATAAAACACTCATACAAATAAAACAAAAAATAATAATTGTTTTTTGTTTGTTTGTGTCCAGCTGTCCATGTGCAGCTGAGCTGAGACATTCCTTTTGCCCAAGGATGCCTTGTGATTGCAGAGGCTGCCATGGGGGCACTGGCACCTGGGCCTGAACCTGGAATGTGTTTGTTCTTGCTGGGAGCTGGTACAGGCGCAGATCCCAAGTGTCATGGATAGAAAGAATGAAGCCTTGGCTTTTGTCTTTGGAATCCTAGGACTGGGGCAGCATTCAGACCTTGGGGAAAAAAGGCCCAATTTGTGCCATTTCTCAGCACTTCTTCCAGAAGTCACTATTAGGATAGGTGCATGATCCTCCCTTCTAGATCCCCTAATCCTAGCCCCAGCTTGCTCATCACTATGGGAGGACCCAGTTTTATGGTCAACATGTGGTCATCTTCTCAGGCACATTCCCCCACTCACTGGCTGTGGCTGGCCCAGGGCCACTGGAAAAAAGTGGAGGCCACAACAAAGCCTTAGAATGCCAGGCATCCTTGAGCATTGGTTGTGCATATGGGCCTGATCGTCCTGTGTGGCTGGGTCTTCATTAGTTTTCTGAGTTAAAAAGCTGCCCACGGGGATGAGAGATGACTCAGCAGTTAAAAGCAGTTCCTGCTGTTGCAGAATACTGAAGTTCTGTTCCCAGCACCCATGTCAGGTGGCTTACAACTATCTGTAACTCGAGCTCCATGGGATCCAAATGCCCTGGAATTTGACTGGCACTTACATCATATGCATATGTCCACAATAGATACAAATAGATACATAGATTAAAAATAGAGACAGGGTCTCCCTATACCCATAGTTGGCCTGGAACTCTGTATCTAGACCAGGCTAGCCTGAGATCTGCCACCTCCCGAGTGCTGGTATCAAAGGCATGTGCCACCCTCCCCAGCCCCCCAAATAAAAATGAACCTTTTTTTAAATTAGCTATCAAGGGCTGGGGATGGAGCTCAGTGGTAGGACACTTGCCTAGCATGTGTGATGCTCTAGATTCAAACCCCAGCTCCTCTAAAAAAGAACGGGGAGGGATAAGAAAGAAGAGAAGAAAGCTTCCAAGTTATGTTACAAAGTTTACCTGGGGAGTAAACTGCCCCTGAGTGGCCTATACCTGGCCAGGCCCTCAGTGTGCACTTGGTGACTGCAGGTTCATGCTGGTCTTGGCCAGTAACCAACCCGAGCAGTTTGACTGGGCCATTAATGACCGTATCGACGAGATGGTCTGCTTTGCCCTGCCACAGCGGGAGGAGCGGGAGCGCCTGGTGAGAATGTATTTTGACAAGTATGTCCTTAAGCCGGCCACAGAAGGAAAGCAGTAAGTGTCCAGCTCCACAGGGTTCCCCCTTTGATCTAGCTCCTGTCTGGGCACGTCGTTTCCCTGGGGTATTGACCATCTGTGTGGGATCACATTCTATGCACGTCCTGGCAGACATGACTCTGTCATGGGTACCCTCAGTCTTTCCTTCCCACTGTACTAATTTGAAGTGCCTGGGTAGCAGTGGACAGTGGCACCCTTTAAGTTTGCTCTGAGCCCTTTGTGCCAGATTTGGAAGTAGCCAGTTAACATTCTTTGCTGCTGAGTTGCCTGGCTTCGGTCTGTTTAGCTGCATACCCATCCTGGCCATGCGGCAGGAGCGGCAGGGAGAAAGCACTGAATGAAAGCTCCCTGGTAAGGAAGCCTTGGTGTTCCCGGCAGCACCTCACTGCTGTGTCTAGGACTCTCCCTGTGCCTCCATCAGCAGAGGCTGCTCTGCTTTTAGCCATCTCCTGGGGCCTGGGCTCCACAGCATCCAGGCTGCATGTTCTTCCATGTCCTGACCTGAATCCCTCCTGCTTGCCCATAGCCATTCTCTGTTTTGGAGGAAACATGGCTTGGATCCGCTGTTCCCTATGGGCCCATCCCTCACCCAGGCTTGCCAGGTGCCCTGCCTTCCCTCTGACCTCATAGCCCCCATCTCAGCTTTGGCTCTGGTTTTCTGTCTACTTTTCATAGTTTCGGTAGCTTTGGGTCAGGTGTTGTTACTGGAAACTGGGATTGCACTTCGCTCCACTGTTCTTTCTTTCCCCGGAAATCCCACCTGTTCTGTTAGCTTATCCCTGGCTGAGCACTGACCTGACACCTGCTCTTTGGGTGCTGAGTATGTAGTGTGGGCAGAGTCCAGTGAGTAAGAGTGGGAGCAGATTGGGAAGGTACAGCTCCACCTACCAGCCTTGCCTGGCCCCCACCTGGGCACCTCTTGTAGGATTGTGGTATGTGCCCAGAAGGTTAGGTAGGAAGCCCGACAGTGTCCGGCAGAGCTCACCTCACCCATCTAAGGCTGATTCCACCAAGGGTACCCAGATCAGGCAGTGGCATTTGGTGGGGCGAGATGTTGGGCAGCCTTACTCCTGTCTCCCCAGCCCACTTTGTGTGGAGCCATGGCACTTCAGGCCCTCTTGGGAACTCTTCCTCCAGACGCCTGAAGGTGGCCCAGTTTGACTATGGGAAGAAATGCTCAGAGGTTGCACAGCTGACGGACGGCATGTCAGGCCGGGAGATTGCTCAGCTTGCTGTGGCATGGCAGGTGAGTTAGGACCCCGGACTCTACCTATTCTGAGGTTTTACCCCACGCTCCCACTGGGAGTTTATGTTGAAGGATGTTCTGAGCATGGATAGGCACATGGCCCTTAGTTCTGCTCAGGTCACTGCATGAACCTGCAGTCACAAGGCCTGTTGAGTCCCTCCTGGGAAGATAGGGCAGTGTCATCAATGGCTCAGCCCCTTCTGGCCCAGTCTGGGCTCTGTCAGGGTGCTAGGGCAGATGTGCAAGGGTCTTGGGCACGTGGGGAGATGGGGCTGCCCCTCTGGGCTGGCAGATGATTGCAGATGAGTATTGAACTTTTGTTTCACATCAACAGACGCCTATTCCATGTATGGGTACTCTTGGATATCTGGCTTTTACAAGTTCACAGTGGAATTGAGTAGGGGGCAAGAATGTTATTCCCTAACACCCTGTTTCTCCGTGAAGCTGCAGCTAGGCAGCTTCATGATCTTGAAGCAGGGAGCTGGCCCCCCACAGCAGGACCAAGACAGCATCTAGGAAACTTCAGTCCCTGGTATTGCCAAGAAAAGCCATGTTTGTCAGGCATGGTGGCACATGCCTTTAATCCTAGCACTCCAGAGACAGATACAGATGGATTATCTGTGAGGCCAGCCTGTGCACATAATGAGTTTCAGGCCAGCCAGGGCTACATAGTGAGTCTCCCAAAAAAGAAAGGAAGAAAAAACATGTTGGTGAAGAGGGTGTGATGGCCACCTCAAGCTTTGTGGTAGCCCTGCCATGTCCCTGGAGCTTGCTGTCTATAGTCAAGTGATAACTTGGCCATTTAGCAGTGTTTTTCTGGATATGCATTTTATGGGACAAGAACCTACTTAGGTTTGGACTTTGTGACCTAGGTACACAGGTGATGGTGCTAATCAAAACAAGCTGGCTTAGCTGCTCTAATAAATGCTTTACATTGAAGACTACATCCTCTGTGGCCAGCCGAGGACTCTGGTCTGTCCTCACTCAGGGTCCAGATCTGTTTCTACAACTGATAGTGGAGAACAAGGAACTTGGCACAGTACAGTGGGCTGCTTAAAGAATAGGAAGTAAGCCGGGCGCAGTGGCGCATGCTTTAATCCCAGCACTTGGGAGGCAGAGGCAGGCGGATCTCTGTGAGTTTGAGGCCAGCCTGGTCTACATAGTGAGTTCCAGGACAGCTGGGGCTACAGGGAGACCCTGTCTCAAAAAGACAAAAAAAAAGAAGAAATCTTAGTGACTTCTTAACAACTCTACTCCACACCCTTCCTTCACTGGGGTAGATGTCAAAACCCAAAACACTTTTTAAAAAGTTTAAAAAAAAAAACCATAAAT